TTATTTTTATTGTTAAATATTTTTCTAATTTTTTTTGTTGGAAAATTTCGTTTTTTCAATAATCATAATAATAATGAGAAATTTCTATTTGATTTTATTTTCGGTAACATTTGTGGTCAGTTTTGACTTATGTTTGTCGGTCGGGTCGGCCGCTAGTGGTCGTCATCTACTTGGAGAAGAGCCATACATACCCTATCATCATAAATGTGTACACAATTGTATGTCATCATCGATCGGATCAATTCATATGAAATCAATGTGCTGTACAAAGGGTTGGCAAAAATGTTGTAAATTTATTTGAAAAAAAATAAATATAATTATTATATAATTATTATTTTTATTTTATTTTTTAAATAAATTTATTTTATAATTAACAGATTGATCATAAGTTTTATTATCAATGTTTGTTTGTTTAGTATATCTTTAATATAATTATTTTTTTTGGTTAATTAATTTTGTTATATTAAAATAAATTAGTTATACAAATATATAATTATAAATCTATATTAAAAGTTTATACACTATATATATATATATATATATATAATATTTAATATATAATTAATTTTATAATGATTTTTAATTTAAACATTGTTTTTTTTGTTTACATTATTAACTGTCAATTTTAATTAAGTAAACATTATTTTCAAATGTAACTATTATTTTAAATAATAATATATGAAATTATAATTAAACAAAACTTATCATTTCTTTATTAAAAAAAACATTTAAAAATAAAAAAAAATTACTAAATTTATGTAATCATTTGTTTGTAAAAGTAGTTTTTTAAAATTGTAGTCATGTTTATAATAACAATATTAATTAATTAATTTAATACTTTAGTATTATTATTATTATTTTATATAAATATATAAAGTTTATATAAGAATATAAAGCTGTATATAAAGTTTACAAACTATACAATTCAATACAATAATAATTATTTATGTTTAAAAAATTTCAAACATTTTTGTTAGTTTAAACGGGATATACATATCATATATCATATATAGTTTATATAATATAAACATCAATCAAATTATTGTTATATATATATATATATATAATCATTGCTATCAACGATGTCATCGGTGTCTTCGTCTTCCACCACTACCACCACAACAACTACCGCTTGTGTTTGCGGATCCGTTGATCACCATATAGTTTACTATCAGATATCACGCAAAGCACTAGATGAAGATCTGGGTGACTACCAGTACGGCTATTGTCCGCATAATGTTACTGGAGTTAATGTGGCCGATCTGATCAAACAGGCGGTAGCCGATAGCGGTAATATCTGGTTACACATGTATAAAGTGCTTTCTGTCGGCGGCAGAATAGGAATAACCACCAATACTAGTCAGCTGTCATCGTATAGTGTCATCAGATTCGGCTGGAGTCTCGCCCGCGGCGTCAGCATTACCGATATTGTTGGCCAACAACAACAACAACTGCCAATAGTTGGGTTAGAGATTAAGCCCTATTCGATAAATCTATGGATAAAGTTGGTCGGCGTTCAAGATATTCAATTGAAACCATTGTTTAAGACTTACTATATTAATACGGAACCGTTTAGACGGAATATCAATCTGTTAGAGATGTCAACAATTGGCCATTTGATGGATTATATAACAATTACTTCTAAATATAATTTTCGGGTTTATTTGACCGAAAAAGTTGATTCACTAACTGAAGGTTTAGATAGACGAGAGCTTAGGTATGATATGCCTATAAGCAGGGCCTGGCTTTACGGCCAGTTTGCCGATAGTTTGATTGTGATTAACGGATGCGATAGTAATCCTAATAATAGCGATGCCCTCATCACTGCCAACAACAACGAGTAATTTATTTATATATATAGATATATTAGACGGGATGTCATTGTTTGGATCAACTGATTAATTGAAATTGTTTTTGATGTGTATGTGTTTAGTATGGATCTAATCAATGCTAATATAACAAAGTTGTCGATCAGTTTGTCTGAGACAATCAAAGAGTGTTTGCCAAACCAGACAAAAGCCATTACCGATACACTGGTGGCCACTGTCGGCAGCGGCGACTGTAGACATAAATATTTGACTGATTTGTATGTCGACGACGACTCGGAAACCGATACCCAATGTTGCGATCAATCATCAGTTAATACACAATTGAATGATAATATCAGCGATAATAACAGCAGTAGTGGTGGCGACAAAACTAATGTCAATGATTTGATCCCATCGTTGTCAACACAAGACATGAATATAAGGCATAAAATTTTTTTTAATATTTAAAAAAAATTATCAATTATTTTAATTATAATTTGTTTTTTATTTTCTATAATTCAATTAATTAGTGACATGAATGACATCGACGACGACGACTGTTATCTGAATAAACTTCAGTCAGTATTGAATCGCAAGAAAATAAAGATTAAAAAATTGATGAAAATGAAGGCAGAAATGAATCAATTGAATGAAACAATTAAGAAGTTGACGGAAGATATCAATGAAAAGTTAAATTTGTAATAATTATTCATTAATTTTTTTTTGTGATAAAACTGATGCCAAACAAGTTGTGCCAAACAAATAATTGCCGAAATTTTTCTTTAAAAACTTTATATATAATATTCAATTCAAATTATAGCTCAAATTTAATATTGTTTTTTTTCAGCTATAAATTTATACACTATTTTTACAAAAATTAATTTTGAATTATAATACGGTAATATTTTTATAATACATATAAATACTGTATATAAAGTTTACAAACTATTCAATACAATAATACCTGTAATTATTTATGTATAAAAAGTTTTAAAACTTTTTTGATAGTCACGTGATTTTTGTTTGTTGTTTTTGGTGTAGTTTTCAAAAATATTAATTTTATTTTGTATTTACTTAAAGGCTATAAGTTTTAAGTCTATTGTATAGCCGTTTTGATTTCCGGTCACTACTATTGTCGGGTGGGTATCGCTAACAGGATATACATATCATATACATATATAAACATCAATCAATCAAATGATTAAATTGAGATCAACGATGACATTGATGTCCTCGTCGTCGACCACCACGGCCTGTGTTTGCGGATCCGTTAATCACCGATCAGTTTACTGTCGGATATCACGCAAAGCACTTGACGAAAATCTGGATGACTACCAACACGGCCATTGTCCGCATAGGGTTACTGATGTTAAAGTGGCCGATCTGTTCAAACAGGCGGTGGCCGACAGCTGTAATAGTATCCGGTTAGACATATATAAAATTTTGTCCGATTTCGGCGGCAGCGGCGGAATCACTACCATTAAGAGTCTGGTGTCACCGACAAGTGTCATCAGTTTCAGCGGCGGCAGTGGCGGCTTCGGTTGCGGTCATATCAAAATTGATGGCCAACCACAACAGAGACTAATTGGATTCGAGATTAAACCCGATTGGATATATCTATGGATAAAGTTGGTCGGCGTACAAGAAATTCAATTGAAACCATTGTTTAAGGATTACTATAATAATGCCGAACCGTTTAGAATTGGTATCAAACCGTTAGAGATGCCAACAATTGGCCATTTGATGGATTATCTAATAATTACTTCTAGATATAAGTTTCGGGTTTATTTGACCGAAAAAGTTAGTCCACTAATTGAAGGTTTAGATAGACGACAGCTTAGGTATGATATGCCTATAAGCAGGGCCTGGCTTTACGGCCAGTTTGCTGATAGTTTGATTGTTATTAGTTCCGATAGTTATCCTAATAATAATAATAATAATAATAATAATAATCAACAAGAGTTTACATTGAAATTAATGAGGTATTTATATATATATATATATATATTACCGTAATTTTGTTGATAATTAATTAATTTTTTTTGTTATATCCATAATCTTAGCGATAAACTTACGGAACACTCGTTGAAAATGTTAGACTCATTTGATAATCAAACCAAAGTCCTAAACGATGTCCTCATCACTGCCAACAACAACAACAATAATAAGTAATATATATATATATATATATATATACAGTATATTAGATGGGATGTCATTGAATGGATCAACTGATTAATTGAAATTATTTTTGTTGTTGATGTGTATGTGTTTAGTATGAATCAAATCAATACTAATATAGAAAAGTTGTCGGAAACAATCAAAAAGTGTTTGACTGACCAGACAAAAGTCATTACCGATACACTGGTGGCCACTGTCGGCAGCGGCGATTGCATTATTAAATATATGACTGACTTGTATGTCGACGACGACTCGGAAACCGATACCCAATGTTGCGATCAATCATCAGTTAATACACAATTGAATGATAATATCAGCGACAATAACAGCTGTAGTGGCGACAAAACTAATGTCAATGATTTGATCCCATTGTCAGCACATACCATGAATATAAGGCATAAAAATTTGTTTAATATTTAAAATAAATAAATTTATTATAATTTATTTTTTATTTTCTATAATTCAATTAATTAGTGACATCGACGACTGTTATCTGAATAAACTTCAATCAGTATTGAATAGTAAGGACAGACTGATTGAACAATTGATGAAAATGAAGGCAAAGATTGACCAAAAAGACGACATAATAAAGAAGTTGACGAAAGATATCAATAAAAAATTAAATTTGTAATAATTATTATTTATTTTTTTGGTGATAAAACTGATGCCAAACAAATAATTGTCGAAAATTTTTGTTTAAAAATATATAATTTTCAATTCAAATTATAGCTAAATTTAATATTGTTTTTTTTCAGCTATAAATTTATACACTATTAACAAATTGTAATAATTTTGAATAATATTTTTTTTTTATAATATTTTTTAAAATTTATTATTATTATTATTTTATAATATAAATACTGTATATAAAGTTTTACAAATTATACAATTCAATACTATAATACATTAATTATGTATAAAAGTTTGAAACTTTTTTTTTGATAGTCATGTGATATTTGTTTGTTATTTTTGCTATAGTTTTCAAAAATATTAATTTTATTTTGTATTTACTTAAAGGCTATAATTTTTTTAAGTCTATTGTATAGCAGTTTTGATTTTCTATTGACAACACTATTGTCGGGTATCGCTAACGGGATATACATATGATATACAGTATATAAACATCAATCAAATTAATTGTTATACATATTATCATTGATATCAACGATGTCATCGGTGTCCTCATCGTTGTCGTCCACAACAACAACAACAATCGCTTGTGTTTGCGGATCCGCAGATCACCGATCAGTTTACTTTCCGATATCACGCAAAGCACTAGACGAAGATCTGGATGACTACCAGTACTGCTATTGTCCGCATAAGGTTACTGAGGTTAAAGTGGCCGATCTGATCAAACAGGCGGTGGCCGACAGCGATAATATCCGGTTATGGTTGTACAAAGTGTATCATTGTGGCGTCTACGGCGGCGCCAACGTCACCAATACTAGTCTGGTGTCACCGACCAGTGTCATCAGTTTCAGCGGCGGCTTCGGCGACCCTTATATCAAAATTGATGGCCAACAACAACAACAGACAATATATCGGTTCGAGATTAAGCCCTCTTCGATAAAACTATGGATAAAGTTGGTCGGCGTACAAGAAATTCAATTGAAACCATTGTTTAAGGCTTTCTATAATAATGCGGAACCGTTTAGACGGAAAATCAAACCGTTAGAGATGCCAATAATTGGCAAATTGATTGATTGTATAGCAATTACTTCTAGATATAAATTTCGGGTCTATTTGACCGAAAAAGTTGATTCACTAATTGAAGGTTTAGATAGACGAGAGCTTAGCTATGATATGCCTATAAGCAGGGCCTGGCTTTACGGCCAGTTTGCCGATAGTTTGATTGTTATTAGTTCAGATAGTTATCCTAATAATAATCAACTTATTGTTAATAATCCACAATCCATGGCTAAAGCCCTAAACGATGCCCTCATCACTGTCAACAACAACAATAAGTAATTTATTTATATATTTATATATATAGATATATTAGAGGGGATGTCATTGTTTGGATCAACTGATTAATTGAAATTGTTTTTTTGTTGTTGATGTGTATGTGTTTAGTTTGGATCAAATCAATACTAATATAGAAAAGTTGTCGGAAACAATCAAAAAGTGTTTGACTGACCAGACAAAAGCCATTACCGATATACTGGTGGCCACTGTCGGCAGCGGCGATTGCAGCCATAAATATTTGACTGACTTGTATGTCGACGACAACGACTCGGAAACCGATACCCAATGTTGCGATCAGTCATCAGTTAATTTACAATTGAATGCTAATGTAAGCGACGATAACAGCAGTAGTGGTGACAAAACTAATGTCAATGATTTGATCCCATCGTCAGCACATACCATGAATATAAGGCATAAAAATTTGTTTGATTATTAAAAATTTATTAAATATTTTAATTATAATTTGTTTTTTAATTTCTATAATTCAATTAATTAGTAACATTGACGACTGTTATCTGAATAAACTTCAATCAGTATTGAATTACAAGAAAATAAAGATTAAACAATTGATGAAAATGAAGGCAGAAATGAATCAATTGGACGAAACAATTAAGAAGTTGACGGAAGATATCAATGAAAATTAAAATTTGTAATAAGTATTCATTTTTTTTTTTGGTGTTAAAACTGATGCCAAAGTTGTGCCAAACAAATAATTGCAGCAATTTTTCTATTTAAAAAATATAATTTTCAATTCAAATTATAGCTAAATTTAATATTGTATTTTTCAGCTATAAATTTATACACTATTTTTACAAATTGTAATAATTTTGTTTTTTTAAAATACAGGTATTTTTAATTTAATTTATTATTATTTTATATGAATATAATTTACTGTATATACAGTATATAAAGCTGTATATAAAGTTTACAAACTATATAATTCAATACAATAATAATAATTATTATTTATGTATAAATTATTTTTGTATTTACTTAAAGGCTATATAACTTATAACCTTTAAGTTTTATACCCTTTTAATTTCCGGTCAACGCTGTTGTGTGGGGAAGGGTATCGCTAATGGGATATACATATCATATATACAGTATATATAAACATCAATCAATAAAATTATTATTATATATATATATTATCATTGATATCAACGATGTCATCGGTGTCCACAACAACAACACCAACCGCTTGTGTTTGCGGATCCGTTGATCACCGATCAGTTTACTGTCAGATATCGCGCAAAGCACTAGACGAAGATCTGGATGACTACCAGTACGGCTATTGTCCGCATAAGGTTACTGAGGTTAATGTGGCCGATCTGATCAAACAGGCGGTAGCCGACAGCTGTAATAGTATCTGGTTAGGCATGCATAAAGTTTTGTCCGACTTCGGCTGCAGCGGCGGAATCACTACCACTACTACACAGTTGTCACCGACAAGTGTCATCAGTTTCGGCGACGGTATCAATATTGATGGTCAACAACAACAACCGATAGTTGGTTTCGATATTAAACCCTTTGCGATATATCTATGGATAAAGTTGGTCGGCGTTCAAGAAATTCAATTGAAACCATTGTTTAAGACTTACTATAATAATGCGGAACCGTTTAGAACTCATATTCAACCGTTAGAGATGCCAACAATTGGCCAATTGATGGATTATATAACAATTACTTCTAGATATAAGTTTCGGGTCTATTTGACCGAAAAAGTTAATCCACTGATTGAAGGTTTCGATAGACGAGAGCTTAAGTATGATATGCCTATAAGCATGGCCTGGCTTTACGGCCAGTTTGCCGATAGTTTGATTGTGATTAACGGATGTCCTAATAATAATATTAATCAACTTATTGTTGATAATTAACGGATAATTAATTAATTTTTTGTGTATATCCATAATCTAAGCGATCAAACCAAAGCCCTAAAGAATGCCATCATCACTGCCAACAACAATAAGTAATTTATTTATTTATATATTTAACTTATATATATATATATTAGACGGGATGTCATTGTGTGGATCAACTGATTAATTGAAAATGTTTTTTTTGGATGTGTTTAGTATGAATCAAATCAATACTAATATAGAAAAGTTGTCGGAAACAATCAAAAAGTGTTTGACTGACCAGACAAAAGTCATTACCGATACACTGGTGGCCACTGTCGGCAGCGGCGATTGCATTATTAAATATATGACTGACTTGTATGTCGACGACGACTCGGAAACCGATACCCAATGTTGCGATCAATCATCAGTTAATACACAATTGAATGATAATATCAGCGACAATAACAGCATTAGTGGCGACAAAACTACTGTCACTGAATTGATCCCATTGTCAGCACAAGTCATGAATATAAAGTATAAAAAAATTGTTTAATATTTTTATCTAAAATTTTATTAAATATTTTAATTATAATTTTGTTTTTTTATTTTTTATAATTCAATTAATTAGTGACGTGAATGATATCGACGACAACTACTGTTATCTGAATAAACTTCAATCAGTATTGAATCGTAAGGACAGAAAGATTAATGAATTGATGAAAATGAAGGCAAAGATTCAGCAAAAAGACGACATAATAAAGAAGTTGACGAAAGATATCAATGAAATGTTTAATTTGTAATTAAATTTTTCTTTCATTTTTTTTTTTTTGGTGATAAAACTGATGCCAAACAAGTTGTGCCAAACAAATAATTGCCGAAATTTTTTTTTTAAAAAAAAATATATATATAATTTTCAATTCAAATTATAGTTTAAATTTAATATTGTTTTTCAGCTATATATTTATACACTATTTAGAAATTGTAATAATTTTTTATGGTTTTTATGGATAGATCATTGAATGCCAAACAAATAATTAACTCAAATATTTTATTTTTATTTTTTTTTAAATAACAAAAAATTATTTTATTATAATTACTTTGAAATTTATTTACAAATGATTATTGAATAAAATTTGATTACTTTTTTTTTATTAATTAAAAAACTTTTTTATTTAATGATTTTAATTAATTAATTTATTTGTTTCAAAATAAGTTAATAAAACTTAAACTGTAATAATCTTTAGTACATTATCTACACTGTATTATATACACTGTATATTAATAAAAATTTGAAAATAATTTTTAATAAAATTTTCATAATAATTAATTAATTTAAATAATTAACACAAAAAAACTGTAATTAATTAATTGGATACTATTTTTTTTTTTTTGGACATAAATTACAGTAAATATATGTTTGCTAACAGTTTGCTATTCATATCATTGAAACAATAATTGTTTATTTGATTATTATATCATAAGATATTTTTTTCTATTACTATAAAAACTAATATTTATTTAACATAACTTTTTTAAAAAACAAAAATCTATAATAACTTCTAAAAAAATAAATATTTTTTAATAATAATAATAATATTAAAAGTTTTATACAGTTTTATAGATATAAACTGAGATTTTTTTTGCCGCCAATACTATCGATATATTAAAACTACAATAAAAAAATTTTTTTATATTTATTATGTATTATGAATACCAGTGTTGGCAGAGTGACAACAATGTTTTGTATAATACAAAGCTGGTATTATATACCAAGTAATAAAAAATACAATGTAAAATACATGACCAATTTGCTTTACAAAAGCAAATTAGCGCCACCTAGTGCTAAAAGCATTGATATAATAATAATTAAAAAAAAATAATTTTTGTTGTAAGCTTATTAAATATAGAATAAATATATTTTTAAAAATTTAATTTTTTAATTTCAAATTATTTGATTTTTATAACTTAGAAACAACAACAATTATTATTATAATGCAATTTTAATTTTTACAAAATATTTTAAATAAGTAATTTTTTAACATAATATATACTAGTTTAAAAATTTGTATATATATATATATATATATAGAGGTTCAATATTAATACATTGTATTTTTCCAACCCTGCTATTTGTATTGCCCATTGAACTGTGATGATTGCGTACAATAAATAACATTAAAACGTTTTCGACTAATATATACCAGTTTATCTGCTACATAGTATAGCAGTTAATACTTGAATAGTGTTTTACAGTGAAACCATACACACACACAACACAACTTTTCAGGCGCTGCTAAACAATATTAGGGCAAAATTTAGAGTAGGAGCTGTGTATACCCCCTCTAATGGATTTTAGTTTAACTAAAACTACACACTGTGTATGTTATACACTGTATAATATACAGTACAGTATAACATATACATAGAAAGCAAGCAATAGTAGTCAAGTAATAGTAAATTAGTGTTACCTAACGTTACCTAACCTGGTGTACGCCCCGCAACCTAAACTAAATTTTAATGGTATTACACCATAATTAATAATTTGTAAATAATTAATTATACACACAATTAATAAACTATTAAGTGCTTATTATTGACCAATTAGTGTTTTCACTTAACTGTATGCTATACTGTGGATGTACTGTATATTTGTATCAATGTGTAGCTTTAGTAGTGCTAAAACATTAGTTAGGTTGCAATCTAATAGAGGGTGCGATCACAGCTCATACTTTAAATAATATCCCAATATTAAATACACTATTACTAACCAAAAAAAAAAACAAAAAAAAACATTAATATCTATTTCTGAGTGTTCTATGCGAACGATATATGATTGATAAGCACACAACACATAACACACAAATAGCTATTGTTTTGTTTTGTTTAGTATTTTTTTAGTTAACGTTTTTGCGTCAAAACTATTATAACCACCGATTGATTGATTGATTAATTAATTGATATCATTGTCATCAACGACAACAATGACCGACTATCTGGAGTATAACGACGCGTCCAAAGAGGAGAGAGGATCTATGGTTTGTTTGTTTTGGCGGCGGCGGCAGCGGAGGCGCCGCCGCCGCCGCCGCTGCCGTTACCGGTGTTACCGCACCGGTAATTATGTGTCCAAACAATTGTCATCACTAATGTCTTGTTTGTTGTTTTATCTATTATTATTAGATCTCCGGCCGACTGAAACTGACCGGCAATCAGATTATCTTCAAAAGCGGTAAAACCGGTAAAGTCGAGACGTTGGCGGCCAACGATATCGACAGCTTAGGCTGGCAACGAATGGCCGGCGAACGTATCGTTCGGGTAATGAACAAATCGGGTCAGATGTCCCGATTCGGCGGTTTTGTTGAATCCGATTACGAAAAGTTGAAAAAGTTTTTCGACAAAAACTACGAACTCGAACTACAGCCCCGAGACAATTGCCTCCGGGGCTGGAATTGGGGAACCGCTGACTTCGATGGTAATGTTCTCGGGTTTGATATCAAGAAAAACGAACGAGCCTTTGAGGTACCGTTGCTGAACGTCAGCCACTGTACGACCGCCAAGAATGAGGTGACACTAGAGTTTCATCAGAACGACGAAGCGCCCAACAGTCTGATGGAAATGCGTTTTCATATACCGACCATCGATGGCGTGGATACGGCCCAGTCGTTCATGGAACAGATACTGTCGATGGCCAACATTATACAGGCCACCGGCGACGCTGTGGTTACGTTCAAAGAGATTCAGTGTCTGACACCGCGCGGCCGATACGATATCAAAATCTTTCCGACATTTATCCAATTGCACGGCAAGACATTCGACTACAAGATACCGATTACCTCCGTATTGCGTTTGTTTCAATTGCCGCACAAAGATAGTCGTCAAGTATTTTTTGTTATGTCATTGGATCCGCCCATCAAACAAGGACAGACTAGGTATCACTTTTTGATCCTATTGTTTAGCAAAGAGGATGAACTGGCTGTCGATCTGGGTATGAGTGAACGTGACCTGAAAGAGAAATACGAAGGAAAACTACAACAACAGATGTCCGGACCGGTCTACGAATTGTTGGCCAAAATTATGCGCGTTTTGGTTCAACGAAAGATTACATTACCCGATCCGACATTCTGTTCGGTCAAAGATGTCCCGGTTATTACCTGTTCGTACAGAGCCAGTGCTGGACTACTCTATCCCCTGGACAGGGGTTTCATTTATCTACATAAGCCACCCATACATATCCGTTTCGAAGAAATCATTTCCATCAACTTTGCCCGTTCGGGTGGTTCGACTCGTTCGTTCGATTTCGAAGTGGAAACCAAATCGGCATTTGTCCATACGTTCAGTTCCATCGAAAAAGAGGAATATTCGAAATTGTTTGACTTTGTATCGAAAAAAAATCTGAAGATCAAGAACCGGGGTATGGAAGGCGGCGGTAGCGAAAAGTCCCGGAAGGCCAGGGATGAAGGTATGGTCGATTCGGATCTAGAGGACGAACCGGATGCCTATTTGCAACGTGTTCGCGAAGAAGGACGTATTCGTACAGAAGCTGGCGATGATTCCGATGAATCGGACGAGTCGTTCAATCCGGACAAAGAATCCGATGGTAGTGTTGCCGAAGAATTTGATTCGAATGCCAGCGCATCGTCGTCGGAGGATTCGGACGAAGAGGGCGGCGGAGGCAGCAGTCATAAGAAGAAGAAAAAGGAAAAAGAAAGAGAAAAACCAAAGAAAAAAGAAAAGAAAGAGAAGAAGAGAAAAGAGAAGTCGTCGAAGAAGGATAAGGACGAGAATAAACCAAAACGACCGATGAGTGCCTATATGTTGTGGTTTAACGACAATCGGGATAAGATTCGGGAGAAATATCCGAAACTTAGTTTCACTGAAATTGCCAAAAAAGGCGGCGAACTGTGGAAAGAGTTGAAAGATAAGCCAAAATGGGACGAAAAGGCTGCCGAAGCCAAGAAACAGTACGAAAAGGCTATGGAAAGCTATAACGCCGGCGACTTTAAGCCAAAATCACCGACAAAAAAGAGTTCGTCGTCGGCGGCGGCGTCAAAATCGGCCAACAAATCGCCAACAAAGAGCGGTTCGTTCAAAAGTAAAGAATATATTAGCGATTCTGATTCGAGTTCGTCGGACGATTCCGATCGAAAAGAGTCGTCGAAGAAGTCGTCATCGAAGTCATCATCGAAAAGCAAAGACAAATCGTCGTCCAAAGATAGTAAAAAACCGAAGAAAGAAGAATCGGATGTCGAGATGGAAGAAGAAGAGGAGGAAGAGAGCGCAGTAGAGACACCAGAATCGTCGGATGAGTCCGACTAAGAGAGAGATAGAGAGAGAGAGAGTCCCGGAGCCGATGACATAACTGTTCGATACGTTTTCATGTATTATTAATATCCGTTTTAAAAGACATGTCAAGATGTGGTAATCAATTAAATATTATTATTAAACTATTTTTATTAAATTGAAAACATTTTCTGTTATTATTATTATTATTATTATTACTATCAATTAGTTTACATTACAAATCACTATAACATCATTGAAATATACAACAAAAAAAAATAGTTTTCTCTCTTTTTTTTCTTTAAATAATTATTATTAATTAAATAACTTAAATGTTTTTTGTTTATCAAATAACAAAAAAAAGAGTAAATTTTAGCCAAAATTTGGCACAATATTTATCATTATATAAAACAYATATATATAATGTTTGTATAAATAATTGTTTCATTTTTTTTTGTTTTGAAATTCATAATAAAACTGTTTATAATGTCATTATTATTATTATTAAAATTATTATTAGATTTTTATTTGTATGGATGTATTGCATGATCTGATGATATTTTTTTCAAAAAAAAAAAAATAGTAAAATATATTTATATATATATATATAAAAGCAATGATCATTAATTGCAACAACAAAACAAAAAAAATATCATAACATATATATTAATTAAATTAAAATAATATTTTTAAAAAAAATTAAATACAATAATAACAACAAAATATTATTTCGACTCTAAATAATTAATTAATTAATTAGTGAATCAATTGAGAAGAAAAAAAACAAAAAAAACAGAAATGAATGAATGGTTTGTTTGTTTGTTTGTTTGTTAAGAGCTATGGATTAAAATTATTATACAAATAGTTAGTTAAATATTATATATATTTATAAATAAATCCTATATTTTATTCTTCTTCGGTGGCTATAATTCTTCAAAGAAGGCGACCCTTGCTTTGGTAGTTCCCGATCGGGTTCGCCTCAAAGTCGAGTATTTATTTTCACCGCGGGTCACATTTTCATCGTGAATATGATCGTATTGGTGCAGCCGGTCGTCAACTTTGAGCACTTGAATCTCCGACTTGAGATCCCGGAGCTGTTCCTGTAGGTGACGTGACTTTTCCAAATATTCCAAACGTTCTTTTTCGATCTCGAGGGCCAACTTTTCGACATCCGTATCGCTCAGTAGATCGCAAGCCGTAGCCGACAATAGACTCATACCGGTTGGCGAACGTCTGGATACGGATGATGTGGGCGATGAAGTCGAGCCCACTGTTACACCATTGGTGCCATTACTGCCGTACGCCGTATGATATGATGCCAGTCCATTGGTCAGACTGGCCGAATGATAGGCCAGATGGTCGGCAGCAGCGGATAGTTCGTTCAGACGCAACTCATTCAAGTCGCGCAACATATTCATACCATTACTGCAGCCATTGTTGTAACCATTTGTCGATAAACTATCGAAATACGAGTTAACAACACTACCAGCGTCTTCGTGATGATGATGATGATTGTTGTCCATCGAATTGATTCCATTGCTACCATTAATCGGCATATTATTGGCAAAATGATTGTCAATCTTAATATTAGTTCCGTTCATCTGTTTGCTGCCCATTGGCGTCGGCGATGCCGGTCCTCTCAGTACATCCATTAGTTTTTCTTTGGCATGTCTTTCCGATAGTTTCGCCCGAAGCAATTCATTACGCAATTGTTCCGCTTCTTTAGCCCGGCGTTCACTTTCTTCGACCATTGCCGACGCCAACAGTTCGGCTTCGGCCGCCTTGCGTTCGATAAGAACTTTTTCTTCCTCCGTCTTAATGGCGCTGATCTTAATTCGCTGGATTTCGGCCTCAGCTTCGGCCGCCTTCTGCGACAATAGCATAGCCTCTTCTTCGGCCACCCGAGCCTTTTCGGCCAACAATTCGGCCGTTTCTTCGCTACGTCTGAGTGCTTCCTGAGCGCCGTGAGCTTCGTCCTGATATTGCAGCAAACGTTGTTCCAGTTCTCCTCTTTCCCGTTCCGCTTCTTCTCTCAACCGTTTTTCGTGCAATAGTTTCTGCCTTTCCTTCTGCCGTCGGGCCTTCTCTTCTCTGGCCTGTGCTTTCATTTGCTGCAATTCCATTGAATCGGGTTTTCGGCGGCGCATAAACAAGTCATGATTACCGATACACAAGTCGAGTATCAGTTTATTCATTCGGGTCTTCGACGAATAAAACTGAAACTGCGGCGAATGGGCTCTATCTACGGGTTTAATGGTAAACTTCTTGTCATCGTAACTGATATTACGTATTTCGCTCCACGGAAACGATATCTTTGGCGTCAGTTTATTGTTCTTTTCGTAGATATTCAGTCCGAGAGCGGTAACACCTAACCAGAGTTCGCTATCTTTTTTGTTACTTATCGGAAAATAGTTGACACCATACATGTCCAAGTCTTGGGCAATCTTCAGGTACTCCATCTCGGCTTCGTCACGGGTCATACCCTTGTGATCGGCGTACCAGATCTTGATCTTTTCTTCCCACATCTCCGGTGTCATCTGATATTGATCGATGACCCGTTGCGGTAGCAAATCTTCGGCATCGGCTAACATACCCGGCTTATAGCTGGCCTCATCATAGTCGCCGTACTTGGCCTGTACGGCATACGATGCCAACAGTACGGTAGCTTCGGGCGGACAATAGATGTCCATATTGAGTATGGCTTGTTTGACTTGCAAATAGAACAAGTGTTGGGTAATCTCTTGGATTAGCTCTTCGGCAACGTCTTCCGGAAAAAATTTGGCCAAAAATAGGAAACTCATTGACGGATCAACTGATTTCAATTTTTTTCCGTTAGCGTCTTCCTGCCGGTTGTGTTGAATGTCCTGATCGATGATTTTCTTGTCCGGCTTTAGCCAAGCAATAAAACCTTTGGTATCGATAAACTGTAGGCCAAAGTAGGCCACCTCTCGCAAACCGATTGTACGGCAAACCAGATCCAGTAGATCGCGACCGAAAGCCGATCGTTCGATGTCGAACTCTAGCTGGGCATCCATTGTCGATATGACCACTGATATACATTTTCGGGACAATTGTTTGCTCTGTTTGGACAACGTCTTCATCGACTTGAGCATCGCGTCGTAGTCGAGGGTAGTATTGTTTGTATCGGTTATAACCGTAAGGCCAGACAATTAAATAAAATTATTTAAAAAAAAACGGGGGATATATTCATACAAATCGTATGGTCAATGGGCCAGACATTTATGTGTCACACTAAGTGGTTGCGGTGGTGTTGGGTCTACCGGCTATGGTTGTGGTCGCAGACAAGTGTCGGAGTTGTCGGAGAGACTGGTATTCAACAGTTGTCGGCCGACATAAACAACTTTATAACCACTTCTTTGTCGTCGTCGTCGTCCTCTTCTTCTTCTGCGTTATTATTTTCGGTCACTTCATGTGGCGATTGTCGTCTCATTTGGTCTTAACTTTGTCGTCGTTGTCTTTTTGTGGCCAACTTTTCCCACACTTGTTTGTCGCGGCGATTGTTGTCCTCCTCCTCCTCCTCCGCGTGTCCTCCGAAACCTTACCGCCGATGCGGTAGTGTTCACAACAACTAGTGTCCTATAAAAAAAATCATCGGCGGATCAGTTCAAGTGGTCAAACAAATTATAACAAAAAAAAGTTGTTTTAATTTTCTCAAAGTCTCAAACATTTAATAATATATTTTTTGTTATAATTTTTTTTTATTTGGTGTCAATCGATAGGCAATAATAATATGATATAACTATTATTAGTAGTAATAATACTAAACTAAACTAAACTAAAAAAATTAAAACTAAAATAAAAACATTTTTTTTATTATTAAATAGTGTTATAAATAATTTATATTATTATTATTTAACTCGTATTCAATTCAATGCCATAAAAACATATACACATTGTGTGTGTAAACATAGCAAACATGTATAATAACCAGGGTTTTAAAAATGGCAGGCATAAACATTAGATGCCAATTTTGCCAAATGCCTGCCCTGTCTCTGCCATGCCCTGGGCATCTATTTTCAGGTGATGACACCTATTATTTTAATTTTATATTATTAATTAATTTAATATAATATATAATATAGTTGCTTGTATTTTTGTTTTGTATACCTTTAATTAAAAGGTAATATCATTGGAAATAAGTAAATTAATTGTAAATTTAATTAACACGTTAAAACTCTAAATTACATTATTTTTACATAAATACAGTTGCTTTTTAGCAATTTAAATTGGCAGTCAAATAAATTAGATGCCCAAAATGCCAGGCATTTATGGCATCTATTTGGGCATTGCCAGGGCAGACATTTATTTCCATAAAACCCTGATAATAACAAACATATTGAATGTGTGTGTAATGTATTTGACGGTCCAATTGGGTTATCAAACGGGTTGTTATCAATTGATATAATAATAATAATGTGATTATAGTTTTCACTGCCGAACACCACTTACTGAACATATTTGCCGATAGATATCGTGTTTTATTTGTTATACAAAAAATATACAGTATTTTTAGAAAAATAAATAAAATTATTTAAAATTATTATAATTTTGTTTAAATTAAAATTAAATATAAGCACAAAATCATTTACAAACAGACAAAAAATTAATACATTTTATTATACGATTGCTTTTATACTATTTATTATATGATGAAACAATCGTATAATAAAATGTATTAATTTTTTGTTTGTTTGTAAATGATTTTGTGCTTATATTAAAACTTTTTTTTTTGAGTTATTATTATTAATTTAGTTAATTAATTACTATATAATTAGGAATTTTTTATGCTATAATATTAATAAATTTGTTATTTAGTTTTATATTAACTTTTTTTTTTAAAAGTTTAAAAAGTTTTTTATTTTATTTTTTTAATTACCAAGTTCAAATTCAATTATTATATAAAGTTATAACTATAGTAACTTTTTTTAGGTTAATTAAAATTTAATTTCATAGTTTATTTTGTGTGCATGGTGTCCAATTGTTTTATTGTGTATTGTATTACACTAACTAAATAATAAATATATTATTTTAGTTAGCTAGGTAAAAAACTTTTTAAAAAATTAAAAAATTATATCTTTACAGTATATTTAGTTAGTGTAGTGTAAAATAAAAAAAATATATATTTATGATATAAATGTTGTTAAATACATTTGGTTTATAACTTTTATGGATAGCCTATGTGTGTGTGTGTATGTATGTGTGTGTGTGTGTGTGTGTGTGTGTGTGTGTGTGTGTGTGTGTGTGTGTGTGTGTGTGTGTGTGTGTGTGTGTGTGTGTGTGTGTGTGTGTGTGTGTGTGTGTGTGTGTGTGTGTGTGTGTGTGTGTGTGTGTGTGTGTGTGTGTGTGTGTGTGTGTGTGTGTGTGTGTGTGTGTGTGTGTGTGTGTGTGTGTAATAGTACTGTATTTGATAAACACTTATCATATGTTTTATTGTATTCAATAGTTTTAATTTTTTATATACACTATTATTATACACTATTATTGTAATAGTATTATTATTATAGTTAGCTCCACGTAATAAAATGTTTATCAATAGTTAACACGTGCAACAATACTTACGCGCTTACAGTTTATTATACTGTATAAACAGTATATATATATATATATATATGTTTTATTTATTAATAATTTTTTATTTAATATAATAAAATTATTATTATTAATCGCGCGACACAAACATTGAACAAATTATATACAGTTTAGTATAGATATAACCAGTGTTGGCAGAGACAAAATGTTTGTATAATACAAAGTGTATACAGTATTATACTGTATAATACAATATGTAAAATACATGAACAAATTTGGTTTACAAAAAAAAAATAAATTTTTTTAGCGCCACTTAGTGCTAAAATCAAAGTGATATAAACAAAGTAAATCATGTTTTATAATAATAAATATAGATTTAATATTATTATTTTTTTTTATTTTAAATTATTTGATTATTATAACTTTTGAAACATAACGATAATAATAATAAAAATAATGCATTTTCTAAAAATTATATTTTTTACTAAAAATATTTTTTAAACATAATATACAGTATGTTAGTATATTAAAATTTGTATAATACATGCATGCAGTACATTGTATTTTACTGTATTATACACAAAAAAAAGTCAAAAATTCAAAACCATGTATTTTTCCAACCCTGGTATAGATATAGATAACAGTATAACAATAATAATCAATGCATTACTTATATACCGGTATTTATGATATGTATTATTATTAATGTAATATTTATATGTATTTATTGAAACATTTAGTGCAAAATAAGTTCAGATATAATAATAATTTAATTCAACATAATTTTCACGCGCGGGTGACCAACAAGTTTGCTACCGTCGACGGTATAGTTATGGACCAACAACAACAATCGCCGACACGTACTGTCCTATTGAGCTGCGGGTCGTTCAATCCGATAACCAATATGCATTTGCGGCTGTTTGAAGTGGCCAGAGATGCACTACAGCAGTCGACAAACAGCCAAACAGTGGTCACCGAAGGTATCATATCGCCGACACACCAGTCGTACGCCACTAGCAAACGGTTAGCCCCGGCTGAACATCGGTGCCGTATGATCGAGTTGGCCGTACAACCGTTGTTACACCAGCGGCCACATTGGGTACGCTGTGATCGATGGGAAACCGAACAGCCCGGGTGGACGCGGACACTGGCCGCTATGGATCACTATCGGAAACAATACCCGCCGGATGTCCAGTTGCGGCTGTTGTGCGGCGCCGATCTGTTCGATACGTTTAACGTACCCGATCTGTGGCGCGACGAAGATATCGAAACAATTTGCGGCCAATACGGTATGGTTGTGGTTACCCGACAGGGTTCAGATCCGTGGCGTACATTGGACGCGAGTCCCAAGGCGGCCATATTGAATAAATATCGGCAAAACATAGTGATTGTCGAAGAGACCATACAGAATACGGTTAGTTCGTCGGCTGTACGCCAGGCCATCAAAAGTGGCCAAAGTATACGCTATCTGTGTCCCGATTCGGTTATCGAGTATATTGACGACAATCAATTGTATCAGTGATTTATTTGCCATATAATTAATTGGACCGATAATTACCGATAATACCGCACACATAGTAAGTGATTATAATGATTGCACTAAAAATTAATAATAATAATAATAATAATGTTTTAATTATCATATTTTTTTTTTAAAAATGTTAAATATATTTAATTTTTGTTAATTTTATAGTTATTTATATATATATATATATATTTTTAAAAAATAATTATTTAAATTTGATAATATTTAGAAAAATTAAGTTAAATTTTAATTTAATATATACTGATGTTCAATACAATGCAATATACAGTACTGTATAAAATATAATTGTGTGTAAATTAAAATAATTAAAATAGTTATTATAGTTAATTTGAAAATAAATCAGATTATGTTTAAATTAATATATATCATTATAGTCTAGTCTAGATTTATAATCATAAAAAATCAAAATCATAATAAATCAATAACAAAAAAATTATAAGGACATACAGTTAATATATAGCGCACACAAACAAAAATACAATTGAAATATTGATTGTATTGTATAATTGTAATTAAATGATTAGCAAAAAAAAATAATAATTTAATTAAATTATACAGTAAACTGTACTGTATTTAAAGTTATAACTAACTAACTAACTATTATTATTCAAATTGTAATTATTTAATAATCCTAATAATTCGGGGCTGAATATTGTTACGCTGAGCGGCCGTACGTTTGCGCCATTGTATCCATTTGGCTACTTCGGGCTGCCGCTGATCGCCCAGTTGTTCCAATTGTTTATAGTAGGCTTCGCGTATTGCCCGAAACGTTGCGGCCGACGAATACGGTAACAGTGTGACCGGATCAAAGTATCGGCCGGGCAGATGACTAATCGGACAGTAGAGTTTCGGCTTGACTTGCGGTGGCCGACGACGATGACCGGAAAAGTAATCCGCGTAGGTTTTGTCGTCGGTAAATGAGATGAAAGTTCGCGAACATTTGGCATCGGTGTCGACAACAACGACTGGTTCGGGTGTCAATGTTTTCTAATATGGATGCGAGCGATCCGTCCGATAAAAACAAAAAATAAACAAATTTTACAATTAATTTCACATAAATTAAGAGATAATTAATTATCGGGTCATTTCGGGACATACCTGTTGTTGTTTGTCACCATTGATTGTTGTTGACACTTGACTATCATCATCATCATCATCGCCGACAATACCACCGTTATCGTCATCAGCAGCCACCACAGCAGCAGCCATACTATTATCGGTAGTATCATTGGTATCGTTGTCGACGTCCATATCGTTGTTGTCGCTATTTTTGTCGAACGTCTCGGAACTAATAACTTCGATGAGCGGCATCGTTACCGATTGGTATCTAATCATCGGTCCTTTGGGCGCCTCCTTAACCAACTTAATCTTTTTTGATTTTTCCAATTCAAGTTTACGATATCTTTCCAATGATTTCAGATTCAATTGTTCCGTTTTCTTGGCCTCGCGAAACATTTCCTGTTGAGTTAACTGTCGATATTCGGGAACCTTATTCACTCCGGCCTTACGTCGCATTTCCGTCTCTTTTCGGGCAATTCGTAATCGTTGTTCAGTTTCCCGGGCGTTACGACGTGTCGATTCGCGAAACGATTTTTTCGGCGTTAAGCGATTCTTCGTTGGCGACGTTCCCGATACTGTGGCCATCGATCTGCGACTACTACTGGCTTCAGCGGCCGGCGTTTCAGTCTTAACCTTAACTATCGGCGTCGGCTTCTTGATCACCGGCGCCGCTGCCGCCGCCGGTTTCGGTTCTCTATAAGCGCCGCGTTTTGCTGGCTTAGATCGTCTTCGCTTACGATTGTCTTCGTCGTCGCCATCGCTAACTGGTTCGTCATTTTCATCGATAGAAAAGTCTGAATCGATCTCGTCGTGCGAATCGCTGCCATCGCTTGTATAGTCGTTATCTTCGACCTCCTGTTTTCAGACAACAAAACAAAACGATTAAATTACTGGACATTTGTTGACGAACCTCATCAACCTCTTCGAAACCGCCGTAAGTTGTCTTATAAAAGTCGTCGACGGCTTCTTCGCTGTCCAACAGCCGCGACATGTTTGCACCCGCTTTGGGCCGTCGGACGCGGCCGGCGGCCAACGTTACTATAGGTTCGCCATCTGATTCCGAGCCGTCCGATGCTGACGATGACATTGTTTTTTTTTTAAAAGAGACCAATTGGTGGCCAAACAATCAAACAAATATCTGTTTTAACTAATTGTTTAAATAATTTGTTATTTAATTAAAAAAATTATTTTTTATTTCTTTATTTATTTTTTTTAGTAAACAATTCATTCATAAATTAAATGTGTGTTTTGAATGTTGAAAGTTATTTTTGACAATAATAATACAGTGTTTAGTGTAATATGGGACCAAAATGCTATGCTATCTAATTGCGTATTGTTTATTACTATCCATTAATGTATATTTTAGTACTATTTTAGACTATACATTAGACACACTACTAAATATAATAAACAATGGTTTAGACATTCATTGCATACACTGTTTACTACTACTAGTCGTAGACAACAATAACAAGATTACCGATAATACTGTCCATTCATTAGGAGTGGCCATCGATGACAGTGAAAGAGATAGAGAGACTGACCAACCGATCGATGGGTTAGATTACATCAATTGATTCATTCAGCGGCAACAACAACAACAACAACAGTGACCTAATATCCCGCGCGCGAGTGAGAGAGAGAGAGAGAGAGAGATGGCGGCCAACAACGAGACGACGGGCAACAACAATAGCGCTATCGATATGTCAATTAGTGGACACTTTAACAGTAAGTATACATCGGGTGGAGGGGTTTGGTGGTCAACAACGGGTGGCCAGTGTGTAAAAGAGAGACTAATCTATCAAAATTTTTTTTATTGTCCATTCAATTATAGTGTCGGCAGCGGCGGCATCGGTATCGTCCGCATCGTCTTTTTCGGCCAAAAGTTGCGACGAATATCGCGAAGTGTTGCGCAAACATCAGACAATTGCCGTACTATTGGATCAGTTGAAATCGCCGGCCATCACTGAAGTGGCCAACGCTTGTCTGGCTCTATGGGATTTGTCGGCTTTGTGTCCGAAATATCAGTTTGCATTGTTCGAGTTGGGCGCCGTACCCATGCTGACCAAACTGACCAATAGCCGACATCAGACGATAGCCGACGGCGCCCAGAATACACTGAAAAATTTGCTCAGTTCGCCGATAGCACCCGATTATATACCCATTACCAGTAAGTGATCCAATATGTTGGTGGTAGGGGTGGGAGTGGTGTGGGCTAACTATAGCACCAGTAGTTTGTATTGAACTAATGTATATTATTATTATTATTTATTATTAGCCGAAAACAACTGTTCCAATGCATCGATACCATCGCTACAGGCGCGCAAAATTAAGGCAATCAAAGAGGATATGGATCGCATCGAATCGGCGCCACCGCACGGCACCTATCCATCCAAAGGCAATGTCTTTTTGCCAGGTATGGGCACAGTTAGCTAACAGTTTGTATATAATAAGTTATACCGGTACTTTATAATCTTTATCCAATACTAGGTCGGATGTATACATCGTGTTCGGCTCACATAAATCCGCATCAGGTTTCCCGTTCAAACAGTCGGGACAGTATTGAATCGTCACATTCGGAACCAGTGGGCAGATTGAATGGCACAGCCACCGCCACTAACACCAGTGCCAGCACAACTACCGATGCCGTCAACATAATCAGAGAGCGCAGGCAGCGGACAACGTTTGCCAAACAGCACACGACATCACCTATTTATGCGACACTACCCGCAAACCACTATAGAATGAACGACAATGATATCGATTATGATATGTATGTCAAAAACAATTTGATAGTTATTATTTGATTATTAAAAACTGTTTTTGTTTTGTTTTTAACTAAAGATACAATACCGACGGTAATTCATCGATGAAACGATCGACCACTAGAGGCAGTGGCGGCCAATCGTGTTCAATGTTTACCAATTCGATGCTTGACGCCGATCCCGAACCAACCGACTATAGTATACGCTATAAAGAGCGTCCGATTGATGATTTTGTAGCTCCCAGATTGGTTCCGCCGGCGGTGGCCACTGGTCCGACTCATGCGTCGACAGCGTGCGACGATTCGGTTAAAGTCTATAATACTGAGGGAACTCCGCTAAACTTTTCGCTGGCCTCGTCGCTAACCGATTTGCGTGCGGCTGGCATGTCATCGATTGATGAAGAAAAACGATCGCTGACTAATCCCGATTTTAATGATATCCAAGATCATCATCAGCATCATCATCATCGAAGTAATGGTGGACCAATTGATCAATCGGCGGACGACGATTGCGACGCTGCCGCCACAACCCGGCGGCAACAACAAAAGCCGCTAATATTATACAATAAGCCAACTCTACCGCCGAAACCAAAATTTTTATCACAATCTACTAGTAGTGGTAATATTAAACAGAATATGAATGGTTTCAGTACTGTTGCTGCTGCTGATGGAACTACTACTCCGCCGTCGCCTATTCCAGATGATGGTAGTCGTGATGGTGCTGGTGGTGGCGATCATCATAGAAGTTATTGTAGTCAGACATTTATTGGTGATCAGCAGCAGCAAAACGTGACCAATAATGGTCAAGATTACGGCGAAGTGACGCCAATGATGTTCTCCCGGAGCAGCTCTATGTCTGAGCTGAGCGACTGCGATGTCAAGTCGGATATCTGCCAGAGTTCGGTCGTCAGTGAATTCAGGTTTGTTTTTTTATAAGTATTATTTAAAAACCGGTTATTAATTAACCGATAATTTTTACATTTATTTTTTTTTCGATGCTATAGTCGACTTCAATCGCAAGCAGTCTCGCCCAGCGATCTACCCGATAGTCCACTCGATAGTCCCAAACTGCCATATAAAGGATCGACACTATCCTCACAGCAACAACATATGATGATACACTCGACGCCAATTAGTGGCTGCAATGGTGGTCACCTAACCGATGCCATTAAGACAACAAACAACGCTTACACCGCGCAAAGCGTAGCCAATAACGATGATCTCATTAGGGGAACGGTATTTGAAGAGACACCCATTAGTTTTGCTACCGAAGGTACGCCAGCTGTCTATTCGGCGCTGTCGTTGAGTTTGAATTCACTAACCGACGGTCTCAGCGATTTGAATATGAATATGAATGATATGAGTGTCGGCGGCGGCAGCGGCGTCGGTACTTCTACCTGCGGTATCCAAATTGATGGCAACGGCGCACAGTCATACAGTTCCCGACAACACTCGGATCAGCCGATAATTGATGTCAACGATATTCATACGGATATTGTTGTCACATCATCATCATCATCGAGTGATGATGACTCCGATGTCCAACTACTGGACGCTTGTATATCGACCGGAATGCGTAATATATCCACTGAACGGACATTCTCTCGCAATTCTCAGCATCGAATTGAGACACAGACGAAGAGAACAGTTCCGTCACCACAACGACAACAACAATTATCGCCGTCACCTGTACTGATGATGGCGGGTAACACTTCATCGTCAACAACGACAACAACAACCACTAAACCTATACCTCATCCGCGTACCAAAACTCCTTGTTCGCGATCGATGTCCTATTTGGTACGTTCGGCTCCCGACGGCCAGTCATATTTGGACAATGATACACTAACCACTTACGCTACCGAAGCAACTCCTTGTCAGCTATCGCATGCTAGTTCCCTGAGTCAACTGTCCATATCAAGTAAGTATTGTTTTACATTATTTGATCCCAAAAATTTCTATTAAAAAAAAATATTTTATTGACAATTGACAGCTACTAACACAAAGTCGGAACAGATTTATATGAACACAACAGCAACGACAACAACAGCTATTATTCATCAGTCATCGGATGATGAAAGCGATGACAATGATGTTGATATCGATATCAATGTCGTCGATGACAGCGATGACGATGAAGAGTTACTCCAATCGTTAATCGAATCGGGTCGTAGTGCCAGTCGTTCGCAACATAATACCGCCAGTCGAAGAACTAGCCGAACAGCGGCTAAACGATCGCCAAAAACGCCGAAAACGACGCCAATTGTCCGATCGCCGAACAATGAACAACATCTGCTACTAATCAACAACAATAACAACTATTCTGGTAAAGACCATGTGATCGAAGTTAACGGCGACCAAAGTCGACAGTACTGTGAGGACACACCTGTCGAACTGACTCGTTGTCATTCGCCGCTCAGTGCACTCAGTCTGGAGTCGGGCGGCAATATCGGTGAGGACGACGACGACGATGATGATGATGACCGCCGAAACGACTATGGCTACGATGATGATCACGAATTGCTATACGAAGTGATCAATAGGGGTATGATTCAGACCAATGGACAAACACCGGTCAAACAGTTCGGCCACAAGAGATCTGATAGCGTCACTAACGACGAAGCAATCGACTCGTGCGATGAGAATACCGTTACGTATACCATATGCCGCAAAAGTAAGTGACACTCACTATGACTTAGATTTTTGTTTTTCTGGACCAATACTTATCGGTAATGTTTGTTGTTTTTTGATTCAGATGAACGCCAATCGACTACTGATATCAGCAACAAATTGTTGGACAATTTAAAGTCATCGGCAATGATGGATTCGGTCGGTATTTCCGAATTGGATAACGTAAAGCCGCCATCAATTATGGACGGATCTATGTTTTCGAGTACCGAATCGTTTTCGTGGAGACAGGTGTCGGGCGGCTGTGGCGGTAACGGCACTGGCGGCGGTGCTACTTATAACAAGAGTGAACAACTTGATAATGTTAAGCCGCCCTCAATAATGGACAACATTTGTATGACACAAAGTGTGGCCAGTACTACGTCGGAGATATCGGACATTGCCTACGATAATGATTTTGATTATGATGCCGGCGGCGGCGGCGTCGTCAGCCAGAATGAGGTCACGAAAATGGCCAAATTATGTGCCCAACAAATCGGTTCGCTAACCTATTTGGCCGATACGTCCGAATCGGAAACGTTTGCCGAAAAGAATTGCCGTTTGCGTCAATTAACGGCAAATAATAATAATACTAAATGTAAATTACAGCTAATTTATTAGAAATATTTTTTAAAAATTATTTTTAATTTTCTGCTAATTTAGTGGACAAACGAGGCGTCATTCAGGGCTACGATCTATCAGATTCCGAGACCGGCGAAGACTTGCCACTGGACAAAGAGTGTCCGTCGAGTGCCATACAGTCGTCAACGTCGGGCGTATTCAGTAGATCATCGTCGGCGGCGCTGCTGTCGCTGGAATCGCCCACTATCTGTGCCGATGTTATCGCCGATTTTGCCGCTGAAGACAAACAACGACTAATGAAACGCGAAAAAGAGATTATTTTAGCCGAAAGACGATTCTCGCCGGTCGGTTCCGAAGATCTATTAGACGATAATACTATTGTTGTTGTTAACAATCAAATTGTTTGTGTCGGTGGTGTTGGTGCTGATGACGATGATTATGATGAATCGGATCGCGATTCCCGATGCGCCACATATAACATAAACTCTCCCCGAAGGGCCAAAATTATTAGGCCAGTCGTCCGAAATGTTTGTTAATAATTAATATTAGTTAACAATTAGATATGTTTTTTATAATTATTTTTTTGTTTTGTTTTTAATTTAAAAAGAAATCCAAAGAAGCAGTCCATGAATTGCCGTTAGTATCGGCACCCATACCTCACACTACCTCCTCTTCCGCCAAAAATAAATATACGGCCAAACAGACGCGTACTTCGGCTCTGAGAGCTTGTCGATCGCGATCGGCTGATACTCATCTAAACGAAGAATACTTTTTGCCTCACGAAAGGACGTCCGGCAGCGGCGCCAGTCATTCATTTGGCCGACACTCTGGCAGTGGTGGTGGTGGTGGTGGTGGTGGTGGTCATCAGCAGTACATTAGCTATACGAACGAAAGCTGCGATAGTATATCATCGATGAAACCGCCGCTAAGCGCTAGTGGTGGACACAAAAGTTCGTTATCGTCGACGTCGGACTCTAAATCCAAGAACAAGTCGTGGTTTATGCCGAATAGTGGCAGCGGTAGTATCCGCTCAAAGCTGACCACTTCGGTCTCATCGCATACATTGGGATCGAGTAATGCCAGTCTGTCGTCGACCTCATCGAACGGCATGACTCCGTCGTGCGCCTCATTTTCGCGTCGCGGACTCGAAGTTCCGTCTCGTATAGCGTCGCTCTGGAAGCGCAGCAAAAGTGTGTCCAACGATAGTAAAGCCGATAAAAATTCAACTAAAAAATCCGATTTAAGTCGATCTATATCTGCCCGAAGGTATTGTTTATAATCAATAATAATAACTAACTGAGCGATTATTTTGACATTTTTTTTGTTGTTTTTCGATATATTATTAGGTCTTTCGGTAAATCAATCAAAACAAGCGAACACAATGTTACACATTTGGTCAGGAATTCGACATTTGAAAAGTTACCGCAAAGTGCCGACGAGGCCAACAATTTGGACAGTAATGGACACAAAAAACAACCACAATATCATCGTAATCACCACAAACATCATTCAACAACAACACCGACAACTGTATCATCGCATCATAATAGCGACAAATATGATAAATATAATAACAACTATCACTTAACTGATGACAAACATACCACTGATTTGATGTCGACGACGACGACTACCAAACATACTAAACATAGCGACCAAAGGAACGGCAATTCGTTGTTTTTTATGAAATCTTTGACAAACAAATCAAAATCACATCAGAAAAGTGGCCAAAATTTTGTCACCGCCGCCGCCGATAATAATAATCTAATTAACGATATCAAGACCAACAACCAATCCAGTGATAGAGTTAGGTCGTCATCGAAATCGCGCCGTTGTATCGAAACGGATGTATGAAAGAGAGATATATATATATATAGATAGATAGAGAAGCGCTTATGGATCACAAATTATAACTATTACTACTATTACTACTACTCTTGTCATTCATTATATCTATTTAATTATAATTTATATATTTTTTAATTATTTTATAACTATCATAATAATAATAATAATTAATTATCTAAATTATTGTATGAATTTTATGAAACTAATTATAACTTATGACAATTGTGACAATTTAATAATTATTATAAAAAAATTAATTAATTAATTAATTTGAACCTGATAATATTATTATTTTTTTGGTGCCATATATAACAGTCTTATATTACCTATAATAATAATAATAATAATAATTAATTAATTAATGTAGTATAATTTATAGTACCTGTATAATTTTATCAATTATTATTATTATATTAATTTTTTTTACAATTATTATTGGTGTCATAACTTAATTTAAGTATATATATATATATATATGTATTATTGATTATATATATATGATATAAATTTATGTATACATAGTATATATATATATATATATATATATATATATATATATATATATATATATATATATATATATWTATATACAGGTATATATATCATGAATGCTCAATTTGATTTTTACCCATTTTTTAAAAAAAATAATAATTTGTAATTATCATTAATTTAATTTTTTTTAATTATTATAAATATATATCATGCTTAATTATTTTTTTTATCTTCATAGTATTTTTTACCCCGCTTAAATAAATTTACAATTTAAAAAAAATAAAATAAAATTATTCAATCAATTATCATAAGTATGTTTATTATTATAAATGTGTTGAACATATATATATACAGTATATAATTATTATATTAGATATAATAATTTTTTTTTTGATTTTATTTTATAAATATCTGATTCAACAATTATTATACTAAATTTAAAATTACAATTATCAATAGTATATTATAATACTTTTAATTGTATTATTATTATTATTATTGAAAATTAAATATAATATACAAAAGATATTTATTTTATTTAAATAAAATATTTAGGATAATAATTATATATCATAAAAATATATTATATATTATATACAAAAAAATATAACAAATTATTAATAATATTTCACAAAATTTCTACATCATTAATAAAAAAAATACATAACAAATAATTAATATAATATATTTTTTATCTTAAAATTTTTTTTTTCATTGAATTATTTAATTAATCAATTAATAAATAATAAATTTTGTTTCTAATAAAAAATCAAAAAAAAAAAAAAATCTTTCGCAACTATACAAACAAAATATGTACTAAAAATTAAAAATATTGTACTTAAAAATCATTGATCTATCAATCAAATCAAATCAAATCAAATTAATCAACAATTTTATTTTTATAAAAAAATTAGATAATAACGATAATAATGATAATAATTAATTAATTAATGATAAAAAATAAATTTTTAAAACTTGACTTTGCCCGGTATATACTTATCAATCAGGGACTGATAATAGGGTATCAGGGTTTCCATATCGGGCAGATCCGGGCACTTGGAGTATAAATCAAATTTATTAAACTCCCGGATCCAGGGTAACATTTCCAGGTCTTTCGGCGAGCACAGGTGGTTATAGTCGCCACCCCTGTGCCACGGATAAAAACTATGATACCTAATCATATAGAGTGCTTCGTCGGGTAGTTTGCATTGTCGATGATTTTTCAATACCCGATACATATATTCGTCGTGACCCCAGGACATCATTACCGATTCCAGACCACATCCCTGTCTGTACATACCGTTTGCTGAACAATACACAGGATTTTGACGATCAGGATTACCGGCAAAAGTCTCAACATAGACAATACTCGGGCCATAGTCGCAGCCAACCGGAAACGTATCGCCCACTACTGCCCACTGAGGTTCGCCATAGATGGCCATTATTTTGCCCAAATCATGGATCAGACCGGTCAGATGAAACCAATCCAAATCCGGGTGTACTTTACGGATGCCTTCGGCCGTCTGAAATGCGTGAACCATATTCGGTAGACTAATATCGGGATCCGATTCATCGACAAATGTATTCAACTTTTCCAGTGCTTCCATAATCGGCAGTTCAATGGTATCGAACTGTGTCCACGACTCGGTTCGGTCGGTAACAAACTGGACAGTCTGGCGCTCATGCATTTGCCGATAGGTTTCGTAAATCATTTGCTGCATCTCATCGTCCTTGAAGGTGGTGGWGGAGGAGGAAGTGGTCGGTTAGTTACCCAGTTATCTAATGGGGGGTTCAGTTGTTTTATGGCACATACCTTATCGTTGTTGTTATAGACACGAAAGTCGGCTTCGTCTTTATAGTCGGGCCTATAGTTCTGTGAGGGGTCGACCATAAAAATCGGACCGTCCAGTGATGGTTGGATACTGACTGATGCCATAACTTTTTGTTGGTTGGATGGGTGGATGAGGGGTATGTGTGTTTGATCAGTAGGGTATTGAACAATTGACTGAAATATTTTTTGAATTGATATACAAAAACAAATTTTTTAAAAAAAAATTTATAACTCCAATAATGATATATTAATTTTTTTGAAAAATTAATTTATTTATTTATATACCTCTGGTATATATATATACATTGTGTGGTAGACGTAGTGTTAAATTATTGCACAGTTTGTTATTGGGATGTCTTGTGGTACACATATTGAAGGTACTGTTATCTCAACAAAAAAAACTATCCGATTATATACCGGGACTATCAGGTTATATATATATATTGATTGATAATTTTTAAAAAAAAATAGTTAACTGACGCCAGTTAGACAGCATGTGATTATATTATTATTATTTATTTATTTAATTTTAATAAATAATATTAAAATTGATTTTGAAAAAAATCAATAAATAATTTGATTGAAATTTTTTTGTTGATTTTTAATCATCAATAATATCGGGCGACAAATCTAATCATAAATTATTTTTTTATTGATTAAAAAATTTTAGTCCTTTAATTTTTTACTTTATATTTTTTTGACAAATTCAAGACACGATTTTTTTTAATGTTTGTTATCAAATATACCGGTACTGTATATATGATATATATATATATATAAATTAATTTAATTTATTAATAATAATCAATGATATAAAACTGTGTCAGATATTATAAGCCAAAAAAAAATTAAATAAAATTTAATTTTTCTATAATTGTCATCAAAAATTGTTTCATTGATTTTATACATTGAATATGCGATAACCAATTTACCGGTGTATATGGTGTTTGAGATTTTTTTAAAAAACAATTTTTGTTAAAATTATTGCAAAATTATTTCAATTTAAACAAATATTTTTAAAATAATTTAAATAAGCTATCACAATTGTTTTTAAATATTTTATTTTTTGGTGGTTAACCATTAAAAATATATTTAAATTATGCAGTATTAGTGTATTTGTGAATTAAATAAAATTGTAAATATATATATAGTTTATTTTAATTTTTTGAATTATTAAAATTTATTTAAATTATTTTTTAATCTTAACTTAATTTTTTTAATGAAATTTATAAATTAATTAGTAATTGCATTTTAGTGTAATACAAAAATTTTGTATTTGCAATATAATTAACGATTTTTAAAAATAAATTAAATTAAAACAATATATGCATAAACAAAAATATGTGTTTTTTTGTGATAATATCTATTAATTAATTAACAATTGATAAAAAAAAGGAAATGGATTATTGATTATATTGCAAATATAAATAAAGACATTGACTTTAAATTATATATATATTATATAATAATAATAAAACTATATAGTTAAACAAACTGATATACACAAAAAAAACTAATTATTTTTATTTAAATATTATCAATATAAATAAATACATATGTTTACTATTAATTTGTTCAAAGTTTATAAAAATTAATAAATAAATATTTATTTATTTTCAAATAACATATACATATATATATATATTTAAAATTTTTATTTATCAGTATTATGATTTAGTTTGCAATTTAATAAATAGTTTATTTTAATTTATAAATTGTTATATATATATATATGTATGTATATATTAATTTATTGTTATATTATATTATATTATTTATATACTAAACTACATTTAATATATATATATATATATATATCATATTAAATCAATTATCAATGTGTTAAACTAAAATTAAATCTGTAACAAATTGATATATAAATATATTAAACTAAACTAATTTTATTTATAATGTATATATATATATATATATATATATATAAAGTACATAACAGTCTAAACAAAATTTATTTTTAAATATAAATATAAAAATTTTCCAAATTTATGTTAAAAATAAATATTTTATATAAGTTTGTGGAAATTTACCAATAAAATAAATTAAAATTAACTATTTAGTGATCATGCACTTTATAAGTGTAATTGATTATATAATTTTGATGTTTTATAAATTATATATAAATTTTACTTTTTCTTAAACGATAAATAGTTTGTACAACAAATTTATTTATTTTTTTGATAATTTAATGTCAAATAACTTAATTATAACTTAATCATCAATAAGAGTTGTTAAATGTTATTTAACTTTATAACTGGTAATTAACATTCAATAATTTTTTTAAAATAAAAAATAAATATAATTAATATATTTTTAATACATTTAATACATTTAATAAACATTACTTTAAATTTTAATTATATATATATGTTGTAGAAAATATATATAGATTTATTAAATAAGATTTAATTATTTTTTGCTATTATACTTATCTGGTAATTATTATTACAAAATATTAATTAAATTAATAAAAATATTTAAAACATTGCAATAATATTATAATTTATTATTTTTATTAAAATACTATAAATGTATTTTTTTGTTTACATAAATAAATAACTAAATTTAAAATAAGTTTTTTAAACAAAAATATTTACTTTAACTATCCATTTACTATAAAGTTAAATCAAATAAATATTAATTGTATAATAACTTAACTATTAATTTACTACTACTACTACTACTACTACTACTACTACTACTACTAATAATAATAATAATAATAATAATAATAATAATAATAATAATAATAATAATAATAAATTTACATTTAATCATATAATATCTTTATTTACACTATATATAACTGCACAACAAAATTATAAAATAATTTTTTTTGTTGAATAAAATTTAATTAAAATTATTTAATTTAATATCAAAATTATTTAACAGAATATTCTTGATATACAAACAAACAATTTGTACAATAGTTTCAAAATGATTCAAATAAAGCGCTAATAGTTTTCAAAACATTTTCAATGTTTATATTATATATTTTTATTTGATCTCAAACTTTATTATTAATTTTTAGTTAAATAAATTCAATTAAAACCTAAAAAATTAATTGTTTTTTTTAATCAAATTATTTGTTTAAAAATAATTATTAAATTATGTGAAGAAAATAAATTACATATAAAACTAAAAAAAAACTAATTATTTTTGTTTTCAATCATAAAATGTATACAAAAATAATAATTCAATGAATATTCAAATGCAATGAACCGTCGATTATGTGATAAAATAATTGCCACAAAAAGTATTATTAATATATATATATATATATATATATATATATATTGTCACCAATTAATTGATCCAATGATTATTTTTTTATCTAACTTATCGAATAGGAGGTGTCATATTATCGGCATCTATGGCCACTACCGTCTCGACGGCTATCGGTTGTCATCAACACCAACAACAAGTAATTTACAGCAGAAATATCTGCCGATTCTGGCCATTATCGATGGCCACGACTAACATGTCGTCGAGGATGTTCAGTACGACAACTGTCCACAGGTCGACAACCCAGGATGTCGGCGGCTTTCGTACTAATTACGAGATACTCGGTATTACACCCAATGCTACCGAAAAAGAGATCAAAAGTGCCTACTATTCACTCACAAAGACATGTCATCCGGATGTCAACGAATCAGCCGAAGCTAAACGACAGTTCCAGTCGGTTGGTGAGGCCTACGAAGTATTATCCAATGGGGATAAACGTCGGGCCTATGACCAGTCGATTGGCAATACATATCGCTATCGTCATCTACGACAACACAATCAGCGATCGGATATACAGACTACTGGTCAAACAAATCAACAGAATCTCGATAACTATCGTGAAAACAAGTTTACCGATAATGAAACGGTCGGCAATCGGCTAAACTATGCACAGTTGTTACGCAATAGACGCCGACAGCAGACCGTACGGATGGAAAACATCTATAAATCAAGTGATGATCTTAACAGTGGTGGTCGCGACCGCTGGACATATGAAGATCCACTGAAACACGATCCGAAATACTATTACGACGAAATATTTACCGAAAAACATAGCACGAAATACGCCGATGAAGTGGACAAACAGGCCCGAGAGATGGCCGAAAAAGAGGAAAAACATAATCTGGAAACTGGCGGTATTTTGGCATTGGTGGCCACTGTAATGTTGTTGCTGGTCATTGTGCCCGAACTAATTGAGGCCAATACGTCTATAACTGAGTCGCCGCCGCCGCCGAAGCTGTCACGGGTACTACACTTGAGTCCATATGCGGGACACAACAACAACAACAATATTAGTAGTAATAATAGTAATAACCGATCTATTAATAGTGACAATACATAATAATAATAATAATAATTACCCGACACTGTAATATAGTTACCGGTAATATAATAATTAGTGATTTTTTTTTGGTGAATACCTGTTTAATCAATTGATTAATTATAAATTAAATGTTAAATTTTTACGTTAAAATGTATCTAGGTAACTATTATTATTATTATTATTATTATTATAATTACCGGTGTATTACCCGCCGGGTAATTAATTTATGTAAATTAGTGTAGTTTTTAATTGTTGTTATTGATTGTAAAATATTTTATTAAAATATATATATATATATAATAATTAATTATCTAATTAATTAAAAAAATAAATTATAAACAGTATATTAATTTCTATACAAGGTAATTAATAATTTTTAAATAAAATAATATAAATTTATGATAAAGTTGAAAAACTTATCTAGGTTGTTATTTATGTTACAATTAGATTTATATTATACAGTGCCGCTCAATATCTATATACATAAATTATAATATTTAAATAAGCAATAGGACAATATGAGCTGGACACAATCAAATTTTGGGTAATATTACCGTGTATCAATGTACTATACAATAATTATTGCATCAATGTTAATTAATTACAATAAATAAATTGTACTAGCTATTTGAATTGAACCTATAGTACAATTAGATTATTATTATTATTTTAGTAATTTTTATTAAAAGAAAATTATTTTATAATATGATAGTACACACCCCTCCCTCCTCTCCACCCACCCCCTGAAATATTTTATTGTATTATTATTATTATATAAGCTAGCTAGATTAATAATTAATATTTTTTGTTTTCTAAAAAATAAGTAAAATATAAATAATGTAAAGTTATATTTGGTCTATCATTTTAATAATAATAATAGTTGCATGCTTGTTTTGTGTGTGTGGGGGGGTGGGGGGTGGGGTGCTTATAAACTGTGTACAGTATATGTGTGTTTGCCATATACAGTGAGTACAATAGAAATAGTTGTGTACAGTTCTCATTGGTGTTTGACTTTAGTATACACACACACAATTTGATTATATTCAAAACCAAAACAATAGTAGACTGACCACAAGAACATAGATTACATTTAATATATATACATACAAATAAAATAGTTTATAATAATAACTATTGTAATATAGTCTATGCTTTATAAAAAAAACTCCGCCCACCCCTCCCCCTATGGACTAAACATTAATATTGCGCGCAAATACTTTTTTTAAAAAAACTAAAAGATTATATTTAAAACTGTCATGTCTCCGTCTAATTGCTATAGCAACAGTAGCAACAAGTACTTACTGTAGTAGTACAAGTAGTATATATAATAGATGTATAAATAGTACTTGTTTACTGTTGCCATAGCAATTAGGCAGAGACATGACAGTTTTAAATATAATATTTTAGTTTTTTTTAAAGGTTTAATACTTTCTGTGTTAGTGGTCGGCCCCTAATTTGGTTTTGGTTTTGAATATAATTTAAACAGTATTTTTTTTTGCTTATCGGTTGATTCAATACTACAGTACATTATTATACAGTTTATTGAGTGAACCATTGGTTTTCACTTTTTGTTGTTTTGTGTTTTGTATTGTATTTTTCAATACACAGTATAAGTGTTAAACACATTCACTGTATGTTTACATCAGTTTCCGCGCGCCGACAATAATACTACAGTAATATAACACCCAATCAATTGAATTGTCACCTAAAGCTGATCCAACAGTTTTTTGTTGTTGTTGATTGTTGACACTTAACCAACTAATTAACCAATAGGTAAGTAAATGATTGATATATCACTGTCTGCAGACCAACTGACTGACCAATTGGTCGGACATTTTGTTTGGTTATGTATTGTATATATAATGTATTGTTTTTTTTTGAAACACATCTCTTGTATTGTCATTACTTTCATCTAATGATAAATTTTTTTGGTCTTCTCGATGATGACAATCACGGGACTATAGACATCATCATCAGCAGCAATAATAATGGGCCGAACAAAGACACGCGAAACGACGACAACGGCGGCGGCCGTCGTCGATGAAGAGGAACAAGAGTTTGCCGTCGAAAAGGTGGTCGAAAAGCGTAATGTCAAAGGAAAGATCCAGTATCTGATCAAATGGCAGGGCTATGGCGATGAAGAGAACACATGGGAACCGGTCGAGAATCTTGATTGCGACGATCTGATCGAAAAGTTTGAAGAAGACCGAAAGGCTAAGGCAGCCAAACGATCGTCGTCGGCATCGGCAGCGGCCGCCGATAGTTCGCCAGCAGCGGCAGCTGAGAAGCGTACTCGACGGGCAACGCCTGGTCGGCCGCCGAAAGAGCGATCGATTGAAGAAGATTTTGAGGATGCAATGAAAAAGCCGCGCGGCGGTTTCGAACGTGGCCTACGACCCGATCGTATACTCGGAGCTACCGATGCTTCCGGCGAATTGATGTTTCTGATGAAATGGTTGGACTCGGACGAAGCGGATCTGGTGCCGGCAAAGATGGCTAATATTAAGTGTCCGCAGGTATGGACTGTTCAATCAGTGTGTATATATGTGTCTGTATGTATGTATGTGTGTCTGTATGTATGTATGTGTGTCTGTATGTATGTGTGTCTGTATGTATGTGTGTCTGTATGTATGTGTGTCTGTATGTATGTGTGTCTGTATGTGTGTGTGTGTATGTATGTGTGTATGTGTGTGTGTCTGTATGTGTAGTGTTAAGTGTCCGCAGGTATGGACTGTTCAGTCTGTGTGTGTGTAGTGTTTTTGGTCATCAATTTGATTACCGATTGTTAATATATATATTGTTTTGTTTATCACTTTATTTGATTATCTCTTTGATTAACCTTTTTGTATCTATCATTTCTTTAACCATTCAATAGGTTGTCATCAAGTTCTATGAGGACCGTCTGACTTGGCATCAAAATCAGGAAGAATTGACCGCCGGTTCAAATAAAAACGATTCTTAGATCTCATTATTATTTTTTGTATTATTATTATTATTATTAAGTATTTCCGTATTATTACTATTATAATAATTATAATGTCATATAAATAGGTATATATATATATATACTGTATAATGGCTGTGATCGCTAAAAGATTGCATACCTTTCAACTACAACAACAACAACATCAACAAACAAAAAACACAAATATTAAATCAAATCAAATGTTTAGATAAATATAAACAACAAAACAAAAACAATTCACTATTTTTAGTGTCACTTATTCATCATTATCTTTAACTTTAAATTTTGTTTTCTCTCTCTCTCTCTCTCTCTCTCTCTCTCTCTCTCTTTTCTATACATATATATATATAACTTATAAACTTATATATGAATATACTGTATATATATATATACGGCTATATAAATATATTATAATTATTATTAACTTTAATTATTTTTTGTTGTTGTTTATCATTAATAATCACACACACACACATTAAAAAACAAATCATATATACTGTATACATACATATATTGTATCTTAACTTTAATACCATTTTCAAACAACAACAACAACAACAACAAAAATATAATGAGAAAAAAAACAAATCATTATTAATTGATTTTTTAATTATTATTATTATTATTGTTTTTTTGTGTCAATTTTATTTCGTTTCATTATTATAACTATTATTATTATTTTGTTGTTGTTGTTGTTGGTGCAAACATATATATGTTTTTTTTGTTGTTTTATTTTTTATTTGTGTGTTATAATAATAATTATAAAATTATCATTCAATACAAACAAAAATAACATTAAAAAATTTATTATTATTATTAATAATAAAAAAATACATTAAAAAGTGTTTATATATATATTACATTACTGTAATGATTTAGTTTATTATGAAAATAATAATAATAATAAAGTTTATAATTTTTCAATAATAATTATTAATAATGATTATGTGTTGTAATGAATTTAATACTTTATATAACCTCCGCCCCCCCCCCCTTAACCTGCCCCCAATAAAATGCAAAATTTATTAAATAAACAATATGATTTTATTAAAATAAATAAATAATTGCTTAATAACATTATTTACTACCCAGATAATTTACTAATGAAAAAAAAATTAATTATAAATTTTTTTTAGCCTAATAACCATATATATAAAATTTCTAATTAAAATAACTTATTTTTGCATATACTGTATGTCTAATATAATGTATTATTAATTAATTACAGTTTTTAATTTAAAACAAAATTTATTTTTATAATCTATAAATTATTTATACCCAATATTACAGTATATGATATACTATAATATAATAATTTAAATAAAAACTGTAATTAATTAATTAGACACTAATATTAGTCATATATTTAGACTAAAAAATCACTATAACTTATGAGACAAACATAACTTCTGTATAAATTATATTATTTTTTGAAAATATAATAATATTAATAATACAAATAATAAATAAAATTATTAATTAACTAATAAGTTATATATTTTGTTTATTAAGCTAAAAAATTATAATAAATTACTGTATAACTTATGATAATAAAATTTATATATTTTTAAAAAAATAAGATTAAAATAAAATTATTTCTAATTACCGGTATATAGATGTCATCCCAATAGACATACACTGCACACATACATACATACACTGCACACACATACATACATACACTGCACACACACACAGATACACACACATACACACACACACATACATAAACTGCACACACATACACTGCACACACACACACAGATACACACACATACATACACACACATACACTGCACACACACACACACATACATACATACACTGCACACACACACACACACACACACACACACACACACACACAGAGATACACACACATACACACACATACACACACACACATACATAAACTGCACACACATACACTGCACACATACATACACTGCACACACACACACAGATACACACACATACATACACACACATACACTGCACACATACTTAGATACACACATACACACACACATACACTGCACACACACACACACACACACACAGATACACACACACACACACACATACACTGCACACATACTTAGATACATACATACACTGCACACATACACATACACTGCACACACACACACACACACACACACAGATACACACACATACATACACACACATACACTGCACACATACTTAGATACATACATACACTGCACACATACATACATACACTGCACACACACACACACACACACACACACACACACACACACACACAGATACACACACATACATACACACACATACACTGCACATATACATAGATACATACAAACACTGCACACACACACACACTGCCATTACGTCACACATATGTGTGTTTTGTTAGTAAACTATCGCTTATGTGATGATAAAAATAAAGACAAATCATTAATAATACTAAAAAAAAAAAAATATCACAAATTGATTGTCGTTTTTGTAGCGATTTTTTTCTGTGTCACTTTGTCCACACATATTGATTGCATTAAACAAAAACGTTTTGATTATTATTATTAAATTTAAAACAATATATGATATTATAATATGTTTTGCCAATCAATTAGTATTATTATTGCTAACAATATTACACTACTATTAACCTTCAATTGTATTCACTATTAATTTCGGTATGTATTTATAAATACCCGATAATTTTATTTATATATTAATTTTAATTACCGCGGTAATTTATTTTTGACATATAATTTAATAATTAATTTAATTTAATTGGTTTAACAGGTCTGCGACCGCAATTATGGCCAACTAGACTAGTGTTTTAGGCGCGCCGGGAGACGACTCCCGCGTTTTCCGCCCCCACCCTCCCATCCCCCCCCCCCCCGAAAATCGGGAGTCGTTTTCATTGGCAATTGATTTCAATAATAATTTATTAACAAAAAAAAAAGTTTTGTATTTTAGATATAAAAAAGTTATTTATTTTTGTAAAAAAAGTTATTAATTTTTTTTTAAGTAATAGTTTTAGTTATTTAATACTATAATTACCGATAATTTAATTTACCGATAATTCAATTTTGTGGCCATTACTACACACACACACACACACACACCCGGCGGGAAAAATGACTACCACTACCACTGCCATCACCGTAAGCCGCGAACCCGAGTGTACAGTTTGGTGCCGTAGTGGCCAACACGCCGACCAACTGTTAGCGGCTATTACCGGCCGTCCCGAACCTGGCGACCGATTGCAAACCTATTGTCGATCTGTTTGCCACAATTTTCCTGTTATTGCCGACAAGTTTGGCCGGACAGCCCTACACGCGGCCGCATCGTGCGGTTGCTTGCGGTTTTGCGAATGGCTAGTGGACAAGTGTGGCGCCGATCTCGACGGCAAAGACTACGAGTCCGGCTGGACGGCACTGCATCGGGCCTTGTATTACGGCCAGATTGGTTGCGCCAAACTGCTGGTCGACTACGGAGCCAGTCTGACGCTAACCGATCGTGACCACTATAGTCCGCTGGAGCTACTGATGCTGGACCGGGCGCCGTGGATCGAGTATACCCGACGGGAGCCGTGCGACTGTTACGTTTGGGGCGCCAACGATAACTTCAATCTGGGTGTCGACAGTAGCAAACAGTCGCGATCGCTGCCCGATATGGTTACCGCTTTCAAACGGGACGGCGTCTACATTCGCGATGCAGTTCTACGAAAATTTCATTCGCTGTTTCTGACCAACGACGGCAAAGTCTACAGTTGCGGTCACGGACACGGCGGCCGACTTGGACTCGAATCGGAAGATTTGTCGATTACGCCCCGCCTGGTGACCATAGCCCCGAACGACCGGACTGCACGCTGCGAATCGCTGGCCTCTGGCCAAGATCATTTTGTATTGCTGGTCAAACACGGCTCCGATGCCAGCGGTCATGTCTATACGTGCGGTAACAATATGTATCATCAGCTTGGTCAAGTACCGGCACCCGAAAAACTACTGTCCCCGCAGATAATATCGATGCGTACACTGAAATTGGGCGCCCACTACAAGATGGGCGCCATAATCGGTGTCGGAGCCGGTCGTTATCATTCGCTGTTCTACACGACTGGCGGCGAACTGTTTACATTCGGCCTGAATGTCGGCCAAATTGGTCATCCCCGTGGCGAACGCTTGCAAACCGTACCGCACAAAGTATCGGCTTTCGATTTCAAGGACAGCGGTACCCGATTCGATCACGTAGTGACCAGTGACGGTGCTATTGTCTGTGCGACCAATCGCGGCGACGTCTATGTACTGCACGAGTATCAGTGCCGCAAAGTAGCCTCAAAACAGCTGGATATACAACAACTGTGTGTAGTTGGCGGCCATCTCGACGAACGGCCAGACGTGGCATCGATTCTCGATGTATCCAAAGTTGAACTACAGATTATGATACTAACAAAAATGCGTAAACTATATCTCTGGAAGGGCTCGGATCCCGTACTCGTTCGATGTCTACTAAACTATGGTCGCGAACTGTCGGCCACTCATATCAGTCTCAGTTCATCGGCAGTCGGTATTGTTACCAAAGATGGCGAAGTATTTTTCGGTAGTGTCGCGAATCGCAAATCAACGACAAAAAACTCGGACACGAAAAATAAGTCAGTGTTGTCGTCGTCACCGTCGATGATGGCATTATCGTCAACAACAACAACAACAACACCGCCGCCTCAATCGATGACAAAGTCTTCGTCCGCCGGCAGCGGTGGCGGCGGCAAAGGAAACGCACTTCAGGTCAAATCGTTTGTCACTTTTGTCGACCGTAACGAGTGTCACACCATTAAAGTCCGTAAACAACGTTATCTGCATCGATGTGTTGCCATTTTCACCGACAACAAAAACCAGAATTTTGCCGCACTTCAGGCATCGCCGAAAATTGGTGTCCTCGAAACGGCCAGCAAACCCGATTCGCGGCTGACAACCGATATGAAACTTTTGTTCGACACTAGCGATGTTAGCGACAATATTCACGATCTGGTGGTCAAAGTTGGTAACAGACAATACTATTGTCATAAATTTATTTTGGCCACTCGTTGCGAGTATTTTCGCCGAAAATTGGCCGCCGCCGCCGCTGCCGATGCGGACACCAATGTCATCACTATTGAATCAAACGTTATATCATCGGTTGATGCGTTTGATCAGATAATTCGTTTTATTTATTATAATTCAAACGATTTGTTTGAAAACGGCCGCCAAATCGCTTGTTTGCCACCACCGGCAGCGGCTGACATCATGGCCAGCAGTGGCGGTGATAATAACCATAATAATAATAATAACAAGAATAAGAAGAATACAAATAAGACTAATAATAATAATAATAATAAAAATAAAAAGGATGTCATCAACAGTGGCCAAGAGTTTTTGAATTCGGTAAAAGAATCGGCCAAACGATTGGGCGTCAATTGGCTGTATCAGTGGCTAAAGCAGTCGGGCGTCAAAATTGTCGACCAAAACAAAGTCAAAGTAATCGATAAATGTCGGCCACCGAAGTTGACATTTGACCGAAACAAATACGACGAATTAACTGATATTGTCATCCAATCATCCGATGGCATTGAATACAAGTGTCACAAATGTATTCTGATGTCACGTCTGGAGTATTTCAGGGGTATGTTGAGCTCGGGTTGGATCGAAACATCGGCCAACCGGCCCCTGTCGTTGCCACTGTCGTCCCGAATTATGGACATAATCATCGACTATGTCTATCGGGACGAGTCATCATCGAAATTGGATCGTATCGATGATCCCGACTTTATATTCCAGGTGTTGGTCACTGCCGACCAGTACCTGATTCCCGGTCTCAAGTCGTACTGCGAATATGTTTTGGTAAACCTGTTGACACTGAAGAATACATGCGAACTGTTGGAGTTGTCCTACATCTACAGCGCCGACCAATTGAAAAGGTGTTCACTTGACTTTATTTGTGTCAATTTGGCGACACTTATGGACAATAAATCGCTGGATGTCCTGAGCGACGAAGCCATGGCTGATCTCACTGAATGCTATCAAACTATGGTAACTATTGATATATATATATATATTTTTGATGATAATACTGTATATTTGATACCAATTTGATTGTCTTTTGTTTTGTTTTATTGTCAATTCAAAGATCACTCGACCGCGCAATCGGCGCTTCAATAGATACTCGACTGCACCGAATGCCGAACAGTTTGAAGAAATCTATTCGCTGTTTGACCACCAAAACGACGACGACGTCGAAGAGTTTCGCGTAAATGTCGACGAAAGACGAGCACTATTGGCCAAACAAAGAGCTCACGAATTGAAACGAAATAAAGCAAAGACGTCGTCGTCATCATCGCAAAGACATCGACTGGAATCCAGTTCGTCGGATATTAACGATAATACGGAAGAGTTGAATACATCAACGAAATCACTATCAGTTGTTAGTTCGCCAAAAGAAAATGAAGAAAACGAATTCATAAAGAAATCGATGACACGAACTGAAGAACAACAAACCAAACAAACCGTAAATCACGGGACAAAACATCAAAACATTTTTTCAACCAAATCCAAGACAACCGTAAGTCTTGCAGAATTTCGGACCAACTCGTTGTCCGCCAATACCACCAACAAAAGCGGCGACAACAACAACGAGGTGTCGGTCAAACCAAAACCAACCATCAAATGGGGTTCACTGTCGACGGCAACTAAACCGATGCCATTGAGTTTCGACGACATTATCAAAGAAGAACAAACAAAACTGACAAAACTATCGCCCATTGATAGGACACATGCATTGCCTAACAGTTCAACTATCGGTAATAATAATAATAATAAGTCGCCGACAGTTGTTCGGCAAAAACCGATACCAATACCGACAACGACACCGAAAAGCGGTGGTTCTTCGCACCGAAACAGTTGGTCAAAGCTGACTACAGCCACTGCCGCCGCCGCCGATATGGCATTTTCAAGTGAGTCCACTCATCATCATTCGCCGAAATCATTTGCCGAAATGGCCGTTTCGCCGCCAAAACCTGGCGGCAGCAGTAACAGTGGCTTTAATCCATGGATACGTATGTCAACCGGCACTTCGCCAGTCGCCGCCGCCGCCACCACCGCTGCCGTCTCCTCAACCACTACTGCAACTAAACAACAGTTATTTATGAATAACTTTCCCGAAATTCAGACCATATCGATGGTAGACATTGTACGCGAAGAAGAGAGACAATTGGAAAATCTTAGAGCACTTCAACTGAAACCGTTGGACGTGATTAGCATTGAAGACAAAGCTTTAGATGAACTGTTCGACTATTATGGCGGTGCCGACAATCCCGATGAATGTATACGCGTTGAACGCGTGTCGACACTCGTGGCCGCACCTGTTTGGAGTCGTTAAGCGTAGAGAGAGAGAGAGAGAGAGAGAGAGAGAGAGAGAGAGAGAGAGCTAATAGATATTGATTTAATTTAAATAATACATTAATATTAATACATTTATAACTATTGTATGTGTGTTTTGTGTTAGGCATTGGTAACCAATTTGTTTTTTATTAAAAAAATTATTTTTTATTTTGTTTTTTTGTTGTTGTTTTTTTTTGTTTGATGTCATTAATTGATTATTATATATATAATTAGCATAATTTTTATTAATATGAATTAATATGAACATATGTTATACATATTTTTTTTTTTAATAAAAACAAATGATTTTTTTTAAATATATAATTGATTGATATATCATTAAAAAAAAACAACAATTTAATTGTTGATAATGTTATTCAAATAATAACACATACAATAATACAGTACATAAAATTGAGTGATGTTTTTGCAAAATTTACTATATTTTTTAATTAAATTAATTTATATATACAGTATATATATGTGTGAGATATATAAATGTTTTGAATATTAAAATAATTTTTTTTAAATAAAAAAAGTATTAATGTAATTATATGATATTTGACATTTAATATTGACTATTATTTTAAATGTCTCTACTATTTTGTATAATATTATAATGCAATATAATATCCAACAAAAAAAATAATAATAATAAATAAAATTCTGTGATTGATTTGTCGTCGCCTACTAGTCCTCTCCCTATAACAACAGCACAGGTATATTATATATACATAGCTTACTGTCCATTAAAAAAATACATGCGCGCCGGGCTCTCCAATAGTATAGTTATATATACTATATATACTGTATATATATTCCTATCGAGAATATTCTGTTAATTATACTCTATATACTGTCTATATATATATATATATAAACAGTGACAGAATAAAGCCATAAGAATATTCTGTGACATGTATTGAATTTATGATAACATTTTCTGGTTGTTTGTGTTTGGGAAAGACATTTTGTATTACCATTATATAGATATATACAGTATATATATATATATTACTATAGATAACACACAGAATTTTATATATAATTCAAAAAATATATACAGAATATATATAGATATAAAGTTAAATAATAATAATATTTTTTTTTATTTATATAGAAATTTGAATATTTTCTCTTAAAACACCTAATAATTATATAATACTGGTCACTGAATCGTTAAAATGTAAGTAAATGTTATTATTATTATTTTTTTATAATTAAAATATTAATTTTAATACCATAATTAAAAAACAAAATTTTTCTGACACTAACATATGATGTGTTTATTTTAGTGATAAAAATTAATTTTTTATAAACAGTGTATATATAGTTAGTTAGTATCACTTCTATTATTATTAAAATATAGTAATTATTAATAAAAATGATAAATGTCCTAGATTGTTTAGTAGTTAATTATGTATACACTTACATACAATATATATATATATATATATATATATAACAATAAACAAGATTAGAAAAATTAATTATGATAATTAATTATTTTTAATCATCTCAACAAACATTTTTATATTTTTTATATTACTTAATATATCTTAGAAATTGCAATTAATTTTTATTAATATGTTTTTTTATTTATCAAGAATTTATTTTTTGATTATATTTTTACTAAAAATAGAAAATAATTATTTCAATTAATTCTATATAATATTATTTAGATATGAATTTTTGTTTGCATAAAAAATAACATTAAAAAAATGTTTTTATTTTATTTATTTATTTTTTTTTGTTTGTTTGACGGATGTATGCAATTTAGTGGCTCATTAACGCTATATTCATAGTTAGTTGTATATTATATTTATATTAATTATTTTTGTTTAAAATAAAAATAATATATTTAAATATGTTTATTTAAATATATTCATATTGAGAAAAATATAAATTGAAACTATAATTATAATTATTTAGTATTATTATTATTCATTCATTTATTTATTTTATTATTCACAATACTAGTCTACATTAGTCTAGTATATTGCCATAAAATTATATATATATATATATATATAAATTTATATATATGCTAATTAATTTCAATAATATTATTTTTAAACAGTAATTATACAGTACTTATACAATATATATATATAATTTTAATTAACTAAAAAATATGCTGCTATTCAATAATGTATGTTTCAATAATATAACATTAAATTTATATACAGTATATACAGTATATATTTGAACACATTTAACTGTATAAATATTATATGCAAATATTCAATATTAAATAAATGTATTAAAATCAATATATATTTATGTATATATAGTTTTAATGGTCAGTTTAGCACAATATTAACATTTTTAGGTTTCAAACATTCAAATTATTATTATTATTATTATTATTATTATTATTATTATTATTATTATTATTCAATCATAATGTCACTAAAAATATACAGTTAGAAAATAAAAAAAAAGTTATGAAATATATTATTTAATATATATGTCATTCATTCAGATATATCGAAAATAACAAATAAATATCAATAATATTATATAATAATAATAATAATAAAAATGGACACAAGTATTATATATAGTATTATAAAAGTTTTTATTGCTATCACACCAAACAAAATAAAATGATTTATGTATTGTCTAAGACTCGGTGACATATTTTTGGTGTCCATTTATTTGTATCATATCTTATATATTTTATATCATATAATATATAAGAAAGAAAGAGAGAGAGAGAGAGAGAGAGAGAGAGAGAGAGAGAGAGAGAGAGAGAGAGATGAACGGCTTAATGAATCTTCCAAATAGTCCGCAGAAAAAAATAACAATAAATTTAATATAATTTATTTGTTTTTATTATCTTTAATAATGTTTTTTGTTTGTTTGGTTTTTTATGATAGTTAGAAAAGTTTCTTAAAAAAAACCCTAAATTTTTGTTGTTGTTTTATTTAATTAGTTTAATTGAATTGTGTTTTATATAAAATTTTCTAAATATATATATATATATACTGTTTAGTCTCTTAAATAATAATCATATATTTATTGTTTGAAATTACTTTTATATATATATAATACTTTTATTTATTTTTTTATATTGTTACGATTATTTATTATATATATATATATATATAAGTTGATTAAAACAATTGTTTTATATAATGTATTATGACATTATATACTATACAATAATATATATATATATTATTCAGTAATATTATATATATGTTTAATACCATAAGTAGAAACTCTAATAATTAATGTTTACTTAATTTATTTTAGTTGAAAACAATATTTACATTAAATTGTTTTGTTTGAATTATATTATTAATACACTAATACTTTGTATTAACTTTATAAATCATTTATAAATTTGTTTCTGCATATTGTTATTGTCACAATAGTCTAATACAATAATTATTTATAATATATATATATATATATWTATATATTATTTATGTTTTATATTAATAATACAATGTTAATAATATACACGCAATAGTGATTTTAATGAATATTCATTAGACTATTTAGATATATTTATTGAATATATTATCTCAAAATTAGTCTCTCTCTCTCTCTCTCTCTCTAATAGTTTATTAAAAGTTAATTAGTTTCTAATTTATTATATTAAATATTTATTGAGATTTAGATATATATATATATATATTTGATTTTGATTTGAATTCACATTTATACAGTATTTTATTAATAAATAAATAATATACTGTACATATATGTATTAAGCAATATAAAGCTAATATTATATAATTTATAATAAAGTGCATATATATATACAGTATATAAATTTAAATTTCTATAATAATATTATTATATTAAATATATATATATATTGGCTATTAGTTGAATTGAAATTTCGAAATTTATTTTAATTAAATTTAAAATAAATATATAGATATATATTAAGTATTTCAATTTTGATTTTATTTATATATGTTTTTCAATATAAAATAGTTAATAATAAAATGATAAAATAAAATGAAATCAGTTGGGAAGGAATTTCAATTTGCAAAAAATAAATTACTTAATGTAATATAAATTTAATATAAAATGTAATGTATAAGTAATATTAAAGAAAACTATATTCAAAATTAAATTTTAAAAAAATATATATATTAATAGGAAAATAATATATCTTAAAAAATATTATAGAATATCACTTAACTATCTATATATTAATATATATTTAAATATTATATATATATATGAAAACTTTATTTTTAAAAAAAATAATTAAATTAAAACAAATAATTCCTAAAATTTACTCTTATTTTGTTTTTTAATATATATTTTTGGTCTCAAAAAACTCAACTGAAAATATTTCCACATAAAAAAATAATACCTAAAAACTACTACTACTACTAAAGTCTAGTCTACAATAAAATGTAAACTTTATTACCAAACAAATCAAACAAACAAACAAACAAAAAATCACCAAAAAATTCAAGTCATGGTTTCGAAACAGAGATCCTATTATAATATTTTATTATTTAGTCTACTGTTGTGTTCATCAGTTAACACAACTATATCGCGTATAGTAGTCAACCGTAAACTATTGATACCGACACCGATACTGACATCGCCAGCATCGACGGTCATAATCCCTAACCAACAACAGCAACAACAAAGCACCAGATTTTTATCATCGGATGACAAGTTGTTAACAACCATTACTACCCCCACAACTACTACTACTACTACTAATGTCAAACCAATTAGAGGCACTGATATCACACTACTACAGACAGGTATGTAAAATATAAAAGTTAATGATACTAAACTATATACACATATTAAGCTTATGTAGTTTATTTGTAAGTACAGTACAGTATATATATATATACTGTATTTGTCGGTACGATTGATATACTATACTATCCTATATATATTAGCCTACTTATAAAGTTACAGTACATTTACGTTAATACTGATATATAGACTGTACTTATATGTACTTATCCTGGAATTCAATGTTAGTTTTTTGTTGTTGTAAAGGTTTAGTTTACAACAACAAAAAAAAGATTTAGAAAATTAAAAATTTATTTTTTTTATATATATTATCAAACTTTACTTAATATATTAGTATATGAATGTAGTGTATATATACTATATATATATATTGAATATATATATGTATTGAATATATATATATACTAATAATATATAATTGAAAGGATTTTTTTGGATACATAACACACACACATACAGAAAATTTTTAACAAATTATGTGTTTGTTTGCTAAATAATGTCTCTCTCTCTCTCTCTCTCTCTCTCTCTCTCTCTCTCTCTCTCTCTMTCTATCTATCTATCTATCTATCTCTCTCTCTCTCTCTCTCTCTCTCTCTCACTCACTCACTCACTCACTCACTCTCTTACTAATCAAATACAAGCCGTTTTCGGCATTAAATAATATATAAATTTATATATAACAGAGAGATAATGTAATATACAATACAATATACTGTATAATAGTATCGATTTATTATTATTATTACTTTATAGTATCCATTTAATATTGATAATGAAAAATTCATGGCAATGGCAAATTTATTATTTTATTTTATTTTATATATTTATTATTTATTTTTTGGTTGTTGTATTATAATATATTTAAATTTTTATTAATACTATAGTGTAGTAGTAATAAAACTGACTAAAAGTTGGCAACAAAAAACAAATTTCTAGTATTGCTCTAACTATTCCTTAAGTAAAAACATATATTTATTATTTATTTATTAGATTTAGATATATTAAAAAGATATATATATTATTAAATTTATATATATCAACATAAGGTATATATATATATATATATATATATATATATATAGTTATATATAATTCTGTATAATAGTTGTTTGAAAATAATAACTATTTTATATTTTCATTTATGATTAAAAAACAAAAATTGTTTAGTATTTATATTAACATTGAATGCATCGGTATTTTTTTTTGTTGGTTTGTTTGTTAATGTATTTTATTAGATATGTTTATATAATAGAAAACATAAAAAAATTTTAGTGAATTTTTTTGGGGGTATTTAATGATTATATATATATGTTATTTTCAAGGTTCCCAATGTCTAAACTGATTATTTATTTATGTTTTTGATTTTTTTTTGAAAAGTAGAGATAACTTTTCCATTAAAACTTATATATATAATATATATAATATAAACTATTGGATTTAAATGCATTGTGTTGTCATATATTTATAATCATTTAACAACATATAAATATGATACCTAATTATATTTCAATGATATTATTATTATTACAGTACTTATAGTTTATTGAATATATGATAATACAACATATTAAACGAATATGAATTAAAAGATTAAATACTAATAATAATAATAATAATAATAATAATAATAATAATAATAATAATAATAATAATACTAGTAATAGATTTCGTGGAAAAAATATTTTAACAATTATTATAATCCGGGAAAAAAATTGAAATTAAATCTTTTTACATTTTAAAAAAATGTGATTTTTCAATAACACACACACACAACAAAAATCATTTTTTTGATTAAATCCGACAAACATATTGTATATCATACATACAGTATATACTGTATATGATATTATATATCATATTGAATCTTATATACAATTTATTATATATATATATTTAGACTTTTTTGTTGTTGAAAATATGTTTTTAAATTAAAATGATTTCAATAGAAACAAAAAATTACTTATTAAACAAATTTATATATATATATATATATGATATAATAGTATATACATTGTGTCTGTTAACGTCATGATTTAGATAACACATAAAAAAATTTATCATTTTATTTGACAAAAATATTGTAAAATAAAGCCTTTTATAAAAATACAATATTATATATATATATATATTGAATATACAGTATATTTAAGTCTCAAGAAAAATATTTGCACAGTTTTAGATACAAACACACAAAACAATAACAAATAGTTTGAATTATTTTTTTTGACAAAAGATTTTCAAATCTGTTTCAAATATATTTGTCGAAACTATATTACTATTGATTTGTATTTTAAAATTTTAAAATACAAATAGATTTTTAAATAATTCAAACTAATAATAATAATAATATAGTAATAATGCACATAATTATATATATATTATTACTGTATTATTACTACAAATATATATATATATATATATATATTTTGAACAACACATTCACATTTACCTCTATTTGAATAAAATTTTGAAAAATTTAAATAAATTATAAAATGTTTTTTTTATAAAAAAAAAGTCATTTCTATTATATATACCGTTATTATTATATAAAATTTATACTACTTGTACTTAAGTAGTATATAATATAAATATAGTACTCAACATAATTTTTTTTTTGTTGTTGATTAAATGGGTTTTTATATTTGAAAATAATATATTTACTAAAAAGTAATAATAATAATAATAATAATAATAATAAAACTACAAAAACAAGTAAAGCCCTGTATATATGAGTTATGTGAAGTGTTTACTGCAAAAAAAAATCAATTAATATTTTTCACTATATCTTACTATACTTTTATTAAAAGTGTTATATATATATATCCATATATTTAAATAATAAAATATTTTTAGTTGATTTATTTTTTTGGGTAATTTTTTATTAGCACACAATATATCTATTAAATATATATATATATATATATATATATATATATATATATATATATATATATACAGTATATACACTAATTTTTTATCCAACATTTAGATAGATATTTACACAGTTTTATGTATATATATATATATATATATATATATATACTTATACTTTATATAGACAACTAACAAAATTTAATGAAATAATAAAATTTATAATACATGTATAAAAATTTTATGTTTTCCCTATTTTATATTTGATAATATAGTTAAAAAAAACATTTTATATACAGTAGATTTTTTGTTTGTTTGTTAATTTATTTTATTATATGATATACTGTATATACTGAAAATAATAAAAACAGTAAACGAAAATAATTGCTTTTTTTGATATAATTTTCTAGATTTTTTTTATAAAAGTAAAATTATATGCAAAATATATAAATTAAACCAAAAATAATGATAAAATAAATCTAAACGTGAATTTCATAATCATTAAACATTTTTTTTTCATTAAACTACTTAAAAAATATATATACTGTATATAATATTATTGTTTTTTTAATAAATATAAATTGATTTTAAAATAAGATTAATTAATTTTTTTTAATTATTATTATTATTATTTTATACAGTATACTGTATATTATGCGCTAACAATTGTTTATTAAAATTAATATTTAATGTAACAAAATATTTTTGTAGTTATTATCTTAAAAACAAAACAAAAATAAATAAATAAATTTATCTATTGTTGAAATCGATGGATTAAAAAAACGATAATATTTTTTTAATACAAAATTATTTTTAAAAAAAAATATATTGTTTGATATTTAAGCCGATATTAAGAGAGTGTATATAAATTTAGTAAACTTTTTAGAAAATAAAATAAAAACATATTTATATCAGAAATTAATCTATTTTTTAAAAATAAATAAATACTATATTTAATAATACTGTTAATAAATACTGTAATAACATCATTAAAATAAAATGTATTATTATTAATATTATTATTATAAAAACATTTAAATAATATTTTAATTTATCATAAATGTATAATAATAATAATAATAATAATAGTAAACATATACTGTATACATAAAGTAATGATACTATTAGTGTTACTATTTTAGTACTAACTAAACATATATTTTATTTAAATTTATACCATTATATTGATTTAATATATACAGTAATATTATTATATATATTTTTCAATAAAGGTTAGACATTTTTAACTTAATATTATATACAGTTATAAATGAAATCATTAAACTGTAGATTTATTTTTTTAATACATGAATGAATACATTTGAAATATAAAAATTTATATATATTTATATATAACTTTATATACAAAAATATTTTGACAAACATATCATATTAATCTTTATACTAATATTTTATATAATATATTATTTTTTCAATATATATATATATATATTTATTTTTATTTATAAAATTTTATATAAGATTTTTCTATAATAGTTCAGACTTTAAATGTCAATAAAAAAACTAAAAAAAACTTCAATCACTTTGTTTTGAATCAATTTTTATTTTGTTTATTGATAGCAATAACTATTACATTGAAAATAGTTTATATTAATATATATATATAAATATATATATATATTTTGAAATAAATCATTTTTTTCACAAAACAATCAATAATACACAAAATATGCATGAATTATATACCGGTATATCAAATAACATATTATATACTGAAAAATTGTCAAAAAATATTATGTCAATCCAAACAAATAAAACTAATAGATATATAGATAGATATATAATATTTTTAGTCAAAATAGATATTTTTTACAATAAAATAAAAAGTTTTATCATTTAGTTTTTTCCCAATACATTAAAACTTGATATTTGTTTGTTTTTGTTTTATTTGATATTTTATTTGTTTTATTAATCAATTTTTTTTAATTATATACCATTACTACTACTACTGATTCAATTTCAATTATATTATTAATTTAATTATTTTTCACTATTAAAAGTTAATAAAAAATTTATATTAGAAAATCTTAAATAAAATAAAAAAAAATATTAGCCAAATGTCAATGTATTTTTGAAAATTAAATTAAATTAATTTTTATTTTATTTTATTTTATTTTAATGAATTCACATTTAATTAATTTTCTAATTTAATGACAACAACTATGTTTGTGATGTGATATGAATTAAATATATTATAATATATAATATAAATATAATGTTATATACTGTATATAAATTTAGTCAATAATTTGTCGACAACTATGTTGTTTGTAATTTAATTAATAAATAATTTTATTGTATTAATAATTAATTAAAAATAATTTATTTATTAAGTGTTGATTAAATGATTTAATTAATTATTTATATATAAGAAAAACAATATATACATTAAATTAATTGCACTTTTAATACTGTAGATAACATTTATTAATAGTTAATGTATTTTATACTATAAATAATATTAAAAATTTTATAAAAGATATATAAAAATAAACTAAAGAGAAACTATTATTTTATATAAAAAAATAAAATTTATATTAAATTAAAATATAAATTAATTGTTATTTTAGTTTAGTTTAGAGACAATAAATTTATATTAATTTTTTATTTATTTAAATTATAGAATTTTGAATGAAATATATAATAATTAATTTTATAAAAAAAAATTAGTTATAGACAATAAATTATTTATCTATTATTTTTTGTGTAGATATTATTGTATTGATTAATATTATTATCGTTATCGTTATCATTATTATTATTATTATTATTATTATTATACAAATAAAATAAAATTAATCGATAAAACAAAATTATTAACAAAAAAAAGTAAAATTTTTTAGCGTAGGTCTTAAAAAAACTGAAAATTATTTTTATGAAAAACACATTAAATTTTTTTGTTGTATTTATTTTCTTTGGTAATAAACTTTTTTATCATTATTATTATTATTTTTGGTGATATATTTTTTATTAGTCTATATTTATAGACTATATATATATATATATATATTTTTCTCTATAAAAACATATATACATTATATAATAAAAAAATATACAGTATTTTTCACTTGAAACTTCACATAAAAATAATATTATTACTTATAATATAATAATAATAAATAAACTATTTTTTATTATGTGTGGGCAATGGCGACAAAAAAAATAAAAAAGATAAAATAAATGATTTATTGGATTATGGTTTATATATATATATATATTATCATTGATTGATTGAAAACTATATTTTTTGTGTAACATATTTTTTTAAGTATATATATATTTATATAATTTTAATGTGATTTTTTTCCAAATAAAAATTATGTATTGAATAAATATTTGTATTGTAAAATTAAAGTCAATAATTGAAATATAAAAATTATAGATAATAATAATAATAAAACTTTATATATATATATATATATTTCTTTAATTTTTATTTTTAGGTAAACAAAATTATTTCTATACAAATAATATCATAATTTTTTCTTCAAAACGAAATAATAATTTTTTTATGTCTAAAATATTTGATAACAAAAATTATATTAATTATAATTATTTTTCAATCAATCATCAGATGTGCCAAACATTACCACAACAACAGCTACAACATCGTTGTCGTCGTCATCTTCAAGATCACTATCGGATCAGATAATAGGCGACAATAATACTAATACTACTACTGATAGCAATAGTCTTCAACAAACAAACAATATATCCATCGATAATAATATCACTAATGATTGGTCTAATGGACAGGAAATCATTGGGGAAATCGTCAACAATGACATCAACAATAATGACAGTGGATTAGCTGATCCGCAGCAGCAGCAGCAGCAGGATATTCATAATCATATGCTAATGGATAACATCAACAATGGTATTATCATCGCTAAAACAACAGGAGCTACAGTCACGACCACTTTGATGACATCAGACAATACTACCACTACTACTACTAGTAGTAGTAGTAGTAATGCTATTAATAGTAATGAGAGCACCGGTAGTGCCGCCAAACCAACCAATGGTGGTGATGATGATGGTATGGTTCAACTAGTAGACAAACTGAGACCAACTATTATCAATGATAATAATATTGATAATAATGATAATAATCAGATCATCGCCAGTTTGGCGACGCCTACACTAACCACCACTACTACAACAACATCAGCTAAAAGTAATTAAAAAAATATTTATTTAAATTATTATATAATTTATATGAGAGAGAAAAAACAGCAACAAAAATATATAATCATTTTTTTGACTCTATATATATATATATATGTCTCCACTAATTAATTAATTAATTGCTAATTAAAAACTTTATATACAGTTAGATAGATATGTATTATATAATAGTTTATGTAAGCGTTAATACTGTATAAATGATTTTTATTTGATTAATTAGATTATTATTTTTTTTGTTGGGTTAGTACAGTATATAGTGGATGACATAAACACAAAAAAAAATTATTTTATTTAATTTTGATTATTTAATTAAAACCTTTAACATTTTCATATATCATAATAACATTTATAAGTAATAAGTTATATAAATAAATAAATTGTTTGTTTTATTACTATATTTGAAATTAATTAAATTATATAATTAAACTATTAATAGTATAAATTATAATTTATTTATTTTCTCAGTAACTTATATAGGTTATTATTATTATATTGTTTCCAATTAAATTAATAATATTTTAATTAGATAATTATATTACTGTGGCTAATAAATTTCGAGACAGAATCTTTGTACTAAGTTTTTCTAAAATAATTCGAATATTAGAATGTTTTATATTTTTGTTTTAATGTACATATTTTCTATGATTATCACTTATCAAAATAATAGTAGTTTAATATCTTTGTCTAAAAAGTTTTCGGAATTATTTACAAAAATATTTGATAGATGACATTTTAAAACAGTAATCTTTTTTGATATTTTTATGTTTAAAATAAAAATAAATTTAAACAAAAAAATATTAATTTTAAAGAGTAATATTTGATGTTTATTTTTTAGTAAAAATCAGTAAGTTTATCAAATGCTTACAATTTTTAATAAATAATTTTATCTAAAATTAGGTCTAAATTTGTCTTCCAAAATAGCACAATTTTAATTTTTAATAATGTTTGGTATTTTCGTCAATAATAAAAAATTATTTTATTATTTTCTTAAAAGCAGGCAACATAATATAATATTTAATCATTTTAAAAAATTTATTAGAATAATCCAATTTTAATAAATAACAAAAACATTTTAAAATTTATATTCGTTTTTTAGAAATAAGTATAAATTGTATTTTTTTTGTAATTTTTCATAAATAATTCTTTAATTGTCAGAAATCTAATAAAATAAAAATACTTTTATTATTTTATCAGGATTAATAGTTTTTCTTAGATTTTATAAATTATACAATTCTAAAAATAGAGGTTACTAATTTTGTAGCATTATAAAACTTTAATTATTATACTATAAAATATTTTTATAAATTAACAATAATAATGAATATCTCTACTATTTAATACCATAAAAAAATAATTTTTAATTATTAAACCGAATGCAGAAAAATCTATTAAGTTTTCATATTACAATTTGTCTTGAAATATATTTGCCACAGTAATATATATATATATATATACATTAAAATATCAAATAGACATATTTGATGATAAAATTATATATTAACAAAAAAATAATTTAATAATAAAAATAATTACAGTATATATATTGATTGATTGAATTTAAATAAATAATTAATAATTTTCTACTATTATTATTATTATTAAATGCTATTTTTTGGTTTAAATTAATTTTTTTATTTATTAATAAAAAAGATATAACCGATAGCTTAACAACTGCTAACAAAACAATGACAACCCGTGCTATCAACGGCACCGGTAGTACAAGTAGTACTGTAGCTGAAGATACAGAAGCAGCCCATAGATCCAAGAGGTCGTTCCCGTCACCGTTGATGACCACCAATACTAATCAGTTGCATACAAATTTGGACGACTTGTTTGACTTGAGACGCCAGCGGCGGTCATCGTCAACATCATCATCGCTGATGAGATACAAGAGAAACACATTCATAGCCAACAATTACGATGATTTGTTGGCCTCAATACTGGCTCAGGACAACAATAGCATCGGCGGCGGTAATGTTATTGTGGATAACAACAACAGTGATGATGACGACGACGACAACGATGATGACAACATGGATCTGTTCAATGATGTCGACGGCGGCGGCGATGGTGGTGGCGGCAGACCAAACAGTTTGGTCACCAATGATAAAGAGCTGAACGATTTGGCGCTCAGTTACCTATTGAATAGCAATAGAAACAGTAATCCCTACGATCTGGACAGTCAGATGATTGATTTGAATAAACTGAAACAATACTACGATAGCCTATTGCCGCTGATGGAGGCCATCGAAAATGGCCAAACATTACCGCCGGCTATGGCCGCCGCCGCAACCGATACAGATAACGATGATTCCGGTGAAGATATTGCTGCCGTTGCCGCCGCCGCCGCCGCCAACCGATACAATAGCTACGGCAGCAGCAGCGGAAGCAGCGGGTTGTCGTCAATACCGGTGATACCCTATTCGTGGCCCAACAACAACAACATTAACCGCTATCAGAGGATCAGACGTTCGTATAGATACCGTTCCCCTTATTCGCTGTACGCGGGTATGCGACGCAAACGGTTTTTCGGGGGCAGTGGTGGTGGTCTAGAAAATAATGGCCCGATAATGATGGGACCGAATGGGGAATGGGGCCGTATAGTCGGCTCAAACATTGACCGATCAGTTTACGATGACGAGGCCCAGGAGGCCAATAAAATCTATTCGTTGGCCACACTGTTGGCCCGCAGCGGTGGCACCGGCGGCACCGTCGGCGTCTATAGACCCGAACAGCTTAGCCTAATGTTGAACCATAGGTTTAAGCGATCATCATCACCATCATCATCATCGTTGTTGGCACCGGTATTTCGGCGCCCAGGTAGCCGATTGGATAAACCCAGTTTCAAACATATGTGATAATTCAAAAAAAAAAAAATAAGATTAAAAAAAAGTTTGCGATACAGTAGATGTATAAATAGTATACTATTTATATATAGTTTATATATATATATATATATATATAGTATATATATAGAGTACGGGATTGTTATCCAACAACAAAAAAAATTACTAAAAAAAATATTAATACAATATAAGAGGCAGTCATTTATATTTAAAAAAAGAGGGTATTTAACAGTATATATATATATATATATATAGGAAAATATGTATCAAATATATAAATACTGTATATATATATATATAATTTTTTAAATATATGTATATATATATATAACACACAAGTGATTAGATCTGTATTTTATATTTTAATCAACCAAAATAATAATAATAATAATAATAATAACAAACTGTGAGTGATATTAGTATTATTAGTATTGAAAAATTATTATCAGATTATTTCTTATAATACTTAACATACATTTTTTTGTTTAAATTAAAGATTATTATTTAATTTAACAAACAACAAAAAATACACATTTTTTTTTAAAAATATTATATATATTTATTTTTTAACGAAAAAAATAACTAATAAATTATGTACAAAATAATAATAATAATAATAAAAAGGTATGGCTTTTAGTAAAAAAGGGCGAGTATTATACTGTATGTTATCGATAGATACTTATAGTAATATATATATATATATTATCTAAAGTAAAGTGTGTTTTTTTATATAAAATTTATTATTATTATTATTTTTGTTAGTATTAAATACTGATATAGATTATACTTGATATACACATATATATATATACTTTATATATGTATATGAAAAATATGATATCAATTATTTATTTTGTTTGATATTTATTTTATTTTTTTTTTTAAAACCCACAAAAAAAATTATTTAAAATACCGTTATATTTGTTAAGTACAGTATAAATCAAGTGAGAGAAATGTAAAAAATAAATCAGAAATCAGATTATGATTTAAATTTTTATTTTATTTTTTTAATATATATTAACATTTATATACAGTATATATAATATAAAACTTTTAGCATTTAAATACAAATAACAAAACAACAAAATGTGTCGATTTGTTAAATGATATACATTTTTATTATTATTATTATTATTATAATGGAGATATAAATGTGTGTTATTATAACAGCAGTATATTATATATTTATATATTATATTTAGTAATTGTTGGGAAAAAAATCAGAGATGAGATTAAATTATATTATATTAAATATTTTTTTCATGTATTGTTGTTTAATATAGTTTAAAATACTTTGCGTGCACTTAATGACTGAGTTTTTTTTTCTGAGACTTAATGATGAAATAATATATCAAAAAAAAAATCATTTAAAAAAATATAACAAAAAATTATATATATATATATATAATATGTATATAAATTATATTGGATATCATTGTGGATACAAATAAATTTATTTATAAAAAAACATACAGTATATACCTCTATATATATATATGAATAACACGTTTTTTTGTTGTATTAATAAATGGGTATATATTAAGTATAATATTATGATTATTATATATAAGATTAGCACACAAAATATAGATTATTATTATTATTATTTCCCTAAACTAATTAATATATTTATTTTATTTATAATATTAATTATCAATCAAAACAACAAAAATATATTTATTTATATAAATATTAAAAAAAAAATAATTACTATTTTGCACACATATTAATATAATGAAATTAATTATTATTATTGATAATAATAATAACAGCATTGCTTGCTATAAAACAAATATTGATATATCAATATAACATATTTAAATTATATATATATATATATATATAAATTTATATAAAATTATCATAATTATAAATGGCATAATAATAATAATAAATTGATCGATATTTTAATTTTTTATTTTATAATATTATTAATAATAATAATTATGATATAAAGTGAAATTAAAAATAAATTGTTTAGTTAGTATATTATTATTATTACTTTAGATAATATTTAATAATAATAATAATGATAAAAACCTAATTATTTAGTTTTTCTACATTTTAATATTATAATTATAAACTACATTTTTTTTAAAAATAATAATTATTATTACTATATTACATAACATAATATCTTTTTAATTGATAGATAATTGTTTGTTGTTTTGTGCATAAATAATTGTTTTTTGAAATATATAAGTAAAAAATGTTATAAAAAATACAGTACAATAATACTATAATACTCAATATATTATTATATTATATGATATTAATATCATAAATATAACATTTGTTTTGTGTTTTAAAAATATTTTATATTATATAAGTCTATTGAGTTTATATATATATATATATAGATATCAATAATATGATATATAAAAACTAATAAAATAAAATATAAGTTTTATAGTTATTATTATTAATAATAATAATAATAATAATAATAATATAATTTATATTTATAAATATAGATTATATCTTTGTAATAATCAATAGGACAATGAAATAATTGTTTAGTGTTTGAGTTTAATATTAGATATTGTATGGAAATATAATAAAATATAATATTTATTAAAAAAAGAGACATATCTTAAAATAATTATTTAAAAAAAAAACAATTTATATAATATATATTTAAGGTATATATATATATAGTGATTATTATTATTTTTTTGTTAAAATAAATACTGTATGGTATATATATATATATAAATATAAATTTATATATCTGATTGTTATTTTTAAAAATAATAATAATATTATAACCAATCGTAACATTATAGTGATTATATAATTTATTTGTTTAAAAAAATGTATTTTCATTATTTGAAATATATATATATAATATATATATATCATGTAATACACAATAAATATTGAAATTAATTGAAAAACAAGCTTTTAGTGTATGCTCTTAATGTTTAACAACAATAGTTTATTATATAATAATAATAATATTATTATTATTATTACATTTGAAACCTTTAACAATATAAAAATGTAATGTAAACTCAAAAAAACTAATTATTTGATGTAAAACTTATTTTCTAATAACTATTATTTCTTTAAAATATTATTATTATTATTATAAATATTATTACTATTATCAAAGTGTTGTGTAATTATTATTATTATTATATATAATGTTATATTTTATGGATAAATAAATAAAAACTTTTTAAACAATAATGATGAAGCAAAAAAAATCATTTTTTTATTTTTTAAAACATTTTTTAATCAATATTTTTTTATTGATAATTTAGATCAATAATCGCTAAACAAGAAAAAAACAAATTTTTTAAATAATAATAATAATTGAAAATAATATTCACGTAAAATATAATATTATCTTTTATTTTTGTTGTTATTTTACATCAAATAATGTATATATATATACAAAACTAATTTATTTAGAGAGAAAAAAACACGAAAAAAATTTGCATAAAATTTTTATTGAATTGTTATTTCAAAGTGAAAAATAATAATAATAATAGTGAATGAAAATATATAGTTATTTATAGATACCA